ATCATAGCGTGGACTAAAACACCGGCCGAACAAGAACACTTAATTAAGCGTGGCACATTTTGCGTCGTTGTCCCAATCTTATCTCCTTCTATAGCGCAAATGTTCAGAAGACATCCTATAGACGTCCTAGAAATGTTCGAGTATCTCCGGGATGTCTCCAGGGTGTCTTTTGAACATTAGTGCTATACGGTGTGAGACGATCCTCGCACACGGAAGAAAGGAATTAGCTGTCCACATAATACAACTGAAATCATAATCATCAGACTTAATTTTTATCTGGTTATACCGTTTCAATATGCTGATTTTTTTTCTCAAGGATAAATTAACTAAATTTCAGTATTACATGGACAGCTAATTTTTGGAACCTGGAAGCTAGCTTTTAGTTGTGGGAGTTACTCTTTTTTTCTTCATGCACGCGTATTTTCGCGCACAAACTGTAGTTCATACGTAGCTGACGTAATAAACTGCGAGGGGGGACAAATTATGACCGTAGATCTTGCTCGTCCGGCGGAAACCTCGGACGTTTCCCCGCGCTCCTTCTTCCGGGACGTCACATTCCTTCCGCGCCCGTGAGTATTTCAGATTCGGAAGAACCCGAGGGCGCTTTTTGTGAGAGATCGCCGCTCGCGAAGTTGGTAACAGTTCTCGTCCGCTCCGGAGAAGATCTCCCTTATTTGTACGAAATGGCGATCGATGAAGCGCTTTTTCGAATAACCAGCCTTCGTGAGCGGTCGTAACTAATGTTGATTGTCACCGCGATTACCGCAGACGATCCGATTAATACTCGAATAGCCGGCGGCCGATAATTACGGAGTATCCGCGGATCCGCTTTCTATGTATGCGATATTGACACGCGAAATTCGGACAGCGAGCTTTCGCGTCCGGTCGAGCGACGCGCGCTTCCGGAACTCGTGAGAGTCTCCTTGAGAGTCCCTTCCCCCCCTCCCTCACCGAAGGATGCTCTCTGCATCTCTCATTTTTCGGTGCGCAGTGTCTGGATGAATTAATTAATTTTCGTTCTCCGCGTTCTCTTCTGCCAAGACAGTTATCATTTGGAGAGGACGACGGTCGGCGGCTGATGCAGCGTCAATTAATTATACTAGACGTCGTTCCTTCGGCGACGAAGAGATGTTCTAGTTGAAGTCGAGCGTTGATTACGAGACGCCTGAACGCTCTCATTAGTTTCCGTTATTTCTCGCAGGCCAACAGCACGGTTTTATCCTCGCGCGGCTCCCCCGGTAATTTATTATCGTCGCGTCTTAAAACCACGCGCCGCTCGAGTCAGCTGTCAGCTAATCGCACGTTTTAATTTCGAATGTGACTTCATGTATGTTATCACGAAAGCATGTATTTCGTTATCTCACATGTTTTCTTATCTAACGAAAAGCGGACAGATGTCGTGAGTCAAACCTGTCTGTGTGGATAAGATAATAATAAATAACCGTATAATGCAGAGAGAGAGAATGCCGACGAAATCGCCGCGAACTGACACTGACCTGTTTCATTATTTTGTGACTTTTTGTACGCGTTACAGATACACACACGCGTCACGAATCTTTGCGCGGGCAAAGTGTGCCATGTAACAGTTGCCCAACGATAAATTAATAATAATGAAATTTGCATTGCAAATTATATAATAAAGGAACCGGTCTACGAACGATACGCGGTGCTTGCAGAGATTACATTTTATCGCGACTCCTTTCTTCATGTAAATTTTTATACCTTATCTCTCTTTTTTTTCTTTTTCCAAATTATACATTGAAGCTCTACTTGTAGTCGACAAGTACCAAATAGAATCCTCTCGTAAATAAATAGATAATATATAATAATAACGACAATTTATCATGCTTCGATATATAGCGTGATGTTGAGATTGCTTTGAGAGCTAAATTAAATTAACGGCTTGTTTTTCACACACCTACGCATACGTACAACTCGGTGCTAGGTGGATGCTATCCCTGCAATATTCCCGAAAGTTGTAAAAAATCCTAAAAGAAAAAACTAGATTCCAACGAGAAAGTCGAACTCTCTACGACAATCTCTTTATACATCGTCACGATTTCAAAGCAAGTCCTAAAATCAAGCAGGAGAATCGTCACAAATCGCCTTCTCTGTGAACATTTTCTCTTGCGAAACATTAAATCCAGCCTTGCGTTGATGATATTGCCTCTTTCGATAGCGCTTATCTCCGTGGTGATAAAATGATCGCGCAAGAGTGGTCAGCGCTTGATAACCCATCCAATCCCACATAGTTGCTTTCGAATAATAAATATATATTAGCTGGACAATTTTTTACTTGAATATTCGTGACAAAACTGTGAGAAAATATGTCGCCCAAATTGATAGAGGAATAATATGAAATACCCTGGGCTTTTTTAAGATTACTCGGAAGTTACCGATGATAATTGAATTCAGCTTTCACTGAGTTGTAATACCAATTGCTTGTTGTAACGTTGTTCCTCTAACAAATTACGTTTATCTCTAATAAGTTTAATGTTACATCAATTCGTTCGTAGGTAGATTTTCGAAGGGTAATACAGAATATTTTGTTAATTTTACTAAAAATAATTTTTCTTACATTTCGACGCATATTAATGACCAAATAGTTAGATCTACAATACAATACTTATTAAAAATTAGCTGATGATATAGACTAATCCGTTCAGATTGACTATAAAATCCAAGTTTATAAACTCACCTTGCGAGTAACGATACGCGGAAAATTAAAAATTACACATACTAACCACACGAGACCTCACTAAACTTAACCACAATGTCGCTTTTAACATTAGATTAGCAGTCTGGCAGCTAATAATTCCACCGCTATCCGCTGAGCGCGGCACTTAATGGGCTAGATATCATGATATTCTATATTATCCGCATTTGCTCCAACTTTATCCGACGAACGTTATTTCCTATTAGCCCGAGAGAGAAGGTCCCCGAACCTTTTGCCGCAAAGGTCAGCTTGTCAAGGCCCGCCGCTGTTGGCGGACCCGTGCCGTATATTACGATCGCAACGGTCGAAAAAGGGGCCTAATCAAAGTGCGCGAGCCTATAAGAACCAGCCTCGACAGACGTATCGTTCAGTGTAGTCGGCGTGACTCAGACCGAGCTAGACCACTACGGTGTTTACCCACGCGTGTTGGCCGACCAGTCTCCGTCGCGGGACTCTCTCACTCACGCATCACCACTTGACTCGACCTCGGCTCGCGCACATTAATGTTCAACCCGTCGGTTAAACGAGTTGTATCGAGAGAACCCAGAGAAAACCGGTCTTCTTGATAACGGGCTGCAATATCTGAAGCATATCGCGTAACGATATCGTGTAACGTCATTCCGACGACGATTATTGTTCGAAGGAAAAGGGAGAAAAAGAGAGAGAGAGAGAGAGAATGATTTCTGGATTACGGAAATAGACAGTTTTGGTGAAATTGCCGGGCGTTACGCGAGGAAGAAAAGAGCTAAAAAGGAAGCGAGAGGAAAGGAATAAAATCAGGACGAAACGCGACTTTAGAGGCAAATTCTATCTCCGAGCTTCGCCGGCGGTTGCGTAACGAGTACGGTGAAGCCGCGTAAAACCGGTCATCAGTATGTAGATCTCGTTCCAGCTGCGGCGGCAATGGCAGAAGCAGCAGCGAGCAACGGGGTTCGATCTACGTGAAAGTGGCCGGGATTGCGGTGAATCGGCGGAGAAAGCGCATTTAGCCGACCAGTTGATCCGCCGTTCACGATGTTATTGCAGCTTATCAGCTTACAGGTTCGAATTTAAGCTAGCTTTGATTGCCGGGAGAATTGGCGCGCGCTCACGCACGCGGAAAAATCAAGAGCGCGTGGACGCGTCTCGTTCGAGTCGAGAAACTTCCACAACGAATAGTCCAGTGGAGAAACTGGATTCTTGGCAGAGAGAGAGAGAGAGAGACCAGCTTAGTGTTCTCGCGCTCAAATTCGACCGGTATGTAAACTCGATTTTTCCCCTCCACCGAGACGCGCTCGTCAGACACATCGGTAAAAAGAAACATATTTCGAGTAGTGATATCACGCATGTAAAATTATTATCACTGACACTGGTATCCATATATCACAAATGTTCAAAAGACATCCTAGGGACATTTCGGAATTTTAGAATATTTCTAGAACGTCTTTAGGGTGTTTTTAACCCGGGAATAGTCAGCTGAGGTCATTTAAACCCTAATGAAAAGTTGCTATTATTAATAAAATATAATATATTATCGATCACTTTATGATTTATTATTATTCAGAGGCGTTATAAATATAGATTTAATCGCTACTTTTTTGAAAAAATTAGGGAGAACCAACAAATATTTAAGAAAATAAGCACATCAAGCGTTCGTGGCGCGTTTACGTAGATAAAAATAAGATGACTATTTCCGGGTTACATTTATATTCCCGGTGAACATTTATGCTGTGTGGGTAGTAACACTTGCAAGAAAAACGGCCTTCCAGATTATTTTTATGTTTGGCTCTGAAACTATCTGTCTATTTGTTTTAACTGAACTGGTGAACACTAGTTCGAGAAATTGACTGAAGCACACTGAATCGTGAAAATCACACGCACGCGGTTAAACGCTTCAACGTGTATTACGAAAATTTCTTGAACTGCAGCCAATGTGTGCGTGATGTGTGTTCAGTTAAAAGGAACAGACTAATAATTTCCTATCGGTGCACGATCACGACTCGTCCTGGTGAAAATCGCGGTCAAAGTTTACGCGGCCCGACTATACACGTCGTTGAATAGTACACAGGTAAATCCGATGGTAGTCGCTGAGGGTGACACCGCTTCCAACTTGTTCGATTATTCAGCAGGCTATATTACCGGTGGGTATAATAGCCGAAGGCTCTTAGATGCGAACACAGTGTCGCCTTAACTCAGAGTTAAGGAACGTTCCCGCCGCAGTCTTGGCGGAATGACAGCGATGATCGATATAAACGGGAGACATCGGTAAATTAGATTTAATCGAGTACATCGTCGCGATTATTCCAGCTTAGTCATCGTGACGTGAAGAATCGGCGCTCATCCTACGTGCGCGTTCGCCAAGTTCGCTCGTACGTCAACAGACGACAAAGCGAGTTTAGTTCTCGAAAATCATCGCGTCAGTTGCTCGCGAAGCTCGCTCGCCCGCAGACTTCGGACCGGCGTGAGTGACGGACGTGTTATATACGGAGACGACGAGGTGACGAAGTTTCCATCGGGTCGGGAGTACCGCTCTCGTTCGAATTACGATCCACGGGTTCAACGTCCCCCCGGGGAAATGAATGAGTCGGCTGGCGCGTGAATTCGCGACCCCACTCTCTCTCTCGTTCTTGTTCAAGAAGCCGGAACGTCAGGCAGGGAGTTAAAGTGGACCGAGCCGATCAGTGAGTGCGGTTCGCCACTTTCCCCATGAACCTTCGTCCCACGGCCATTACGCTCGGTCTTTTAGTCGTGGCCAGTTTCGTCGGGAGCCTATCGGCGTAGAATTCGCGGGAGCCGTTCGGAACGGATGAGACTCGCAGCTGGAAAAATTCGGCTATAATTTTTTGTAACGAGAGAGAAAACAGTCGATTAGCCGAGTGTATGAAGCGAGAAGTTTGCAGAGGCTTTGAGAGATAGACTCGACGAGTGAATTTTTATCGCGCGTCTGATGCAACAGAATTCCGACAGGCGGCCGCGCGACACTCCAAGTATAATTAACATATTAACATTAATCGCATTCAAGTATCATGAGATTAACTTGTCGGTCGAAGTTAAACTAGTATGTAAAGTCGACGAAGGATTCTAATGAGGACGCGCGTAAGTGTCGAGAAAGAAAGACGAGCCGGCGGCGGGCCCGTCGCAAATTTTCTCACCGAGAGCGTCGTTAAGGAGACTTTGCTATTTGCGAGAAACACTTGACAGTGACGTATAGTTCGGCCAATCGTACTTTCTTCGTAATTTTCCTCTTTTCCTCAACTCGACACAGAACGTTTCGAAATCCTCTTTCCGAAGTCATTCAAAACGATAATTATAAAATAAAGGCGAGCAAACGCAAGATAAAATTATGCGGACAAATATTTGCGTATTTTCAACATAGGTATGTACTATCTGCTCTCAGTCGTGAATTACTCCGTCTTATCTATCAGTGACACTGGATAACTAAATAACTAGTGATAATATTGAAAGCACGATAATATATAATAGTTTTTTCTTTCTTTTTCGTTTACCTTGATAAGTAAATGTATTGACTTTCATCATTGATTCGCTTGTCGTTAACTAATTGTTAGTTTAACTAGTTTAACTAGTGTCTAGTGTCACTCACATTTGCGCAGTATTTGTGCAATAAATTAAAATATTGTGTCGTCGAGCGCGTACGAGTTCACCATCCTTGATCATTAACCGTAATTGCAGTTGATGTTTACAGTTGGTGTTGTATTGAAAATAGAAAATTACCATACTTCAGCTCGGAACAAGCCTGCGTGTGTGTGTGTACCAACTTCCTACCTTCGAGTCCAACGTTCACTGCGTGTTCCTCTCCGCGAGGTACTCTCGAGAAAGAACGTGCACTGGTCATAGGATTACGTAATGAGGAGAAATAAAACTCGAAATGTCACGGCAAGAAACGTTATAGTTATAATTAGAGTTAGAACTTGTTTACGAATGATGTAGTGATCAAAGGCTATACCGGACGAGAACATCGATTATCGAGGACGCTTGGAAATAGTCGTTGATCGTGATTCAATCGAAGCGACATGGCTCTCATTGTGAGGTATGTTCAAGTTCTCTGAAAGAGGCAATTTTAAATTATTCGCACGAAGATGAATCGCCGGGAAAGAAAGGAAAAAGAGTTTACTTTTCGATATTAACACACAGCATGGAAAAAGAGATCAGCTGCAGTAATTAAATTAGTTGTTACATTTGAACACCTAAAATTTAACACATAGCAAACAATTTTGTGAATTTACCATAAAAAAAAAACTTGCAACACTTTTTCTTGGCAAATCTTGGAACGCATCCCCCGTGTCCAATAAGAGAACTTGCTTTTACTAATTTTCAGAAAGTACATTTTCCTTTTGAATACGAGATACGGAACTCATCGAGACAAATGTGTCGCAACCTTTTTATAACCATACAAGTCGCATAACTGGTTGGTTCACTTTCAGCGAAGAGGGACAGGCGATGCTCCGGCAGGAGGCCGTCAACCTGTACCAAAAGGCGCTGAGTGTGAAGAGCGTTTGCGAGGACATCGAGAACAACAACAGCCTCGACGATGTTAAAAGCGAAGAGGTTGCGTTGCGAAAGAAGGGTGAAACGCCGGCGCACTATTCGTCGAACTGGAAGGGAGTGTTAGCACAGGTGAGACAGTCGCGGGATGCATCATTTCGCAGATTATTTCTCCGACGTCACTCGTGTGTCGCGTTCTGTCGCAAACAACGAGACGCGATGCGATACGGGCGATCCAAGAATCCCCCAACTTTTTCTTTCTTTTTTTCACGAGACCCTTTTACGCGTTCTCGGCGGCTTATCGCGCGTAACGAATCCTTCTTCTGCTCAAAATAACTCGCCACGTAAATCGCCGGGTTTCACCAGGCAAAAGGGAATTTCTAGCGTGGATACGCGTGCGAACGCTCTCGCGCTGCGTATTCAACGGCGCGAGACCGTCGGGGAAATACGTTGGATTAGTGCCAGTGCATACTTTTTATTTAAAAATAGATACACGCAGACATTCGCAGGGACGCACTGATACTCGCGGCCGCAACTTCCCTGTCGTTCCTCGCCGCGTTTTCGGTCCCGTTGCGTTCGTCATCGTTCGCGGGGACGTAACGAGTTATCGTGCGCGCGTGAAATTCTACTAACAAGCGGATCGTAATTAAACTATAAAATGTAAATGTTACTTCGCGAACGAGCGAAGGACAACGCATTAATGCCGCTTTAGCAAAAATACAAACCGGTTAACCAGCCAAGTCGCGATAGAGCGGAGCCGCACGCATTCCATCATTACTAGGAGATCTTCGGAAGCAAGTTATTATTCCTTATTTAGAGTCCGGCCTATCATTTCCCGTGCGTCCATTAGCTCGTACAAATTAATCCATTTCTCGTTAACTATCGCGAATTTCGCAAAATGGTACATGCTTTCTCCGTTCAGTTTAATTCGTTCCGCATCAGGGATTCAAAGACAATTATCGGACGCCCTGCATAATTTTCTTCTTTCCGGTGATGCGTTTATATTAATTCTCTTCTCTCTCTCTCTCTCTCTCTTGCCGGGCGATGAATTGCAAATTGCATTTCATCACATAACAAGACAGACGCTCCGGCAAAACTGTCCTCTTGGCGCGGAGCTGCGTGCTGTTTTCCTCGCAATATATCATTCACCGATTTTCCACAGAAGCGTACGTCGCCGATATTTGACCCCCACCCATCGCTCACGGCGCGGCCGTGGCGAAGTTTCCGCTTGAAGCACATTTCACTTCAGATGCACCGCGGTGCAGTGCAGCGTAAATACACTCCGGCGGCTTACGTCAGTGCCCGCTGCGAAAACGAGACGCGGCGCAGCATAATAGCGATTTAAGTCCCGCGGAAAATAAGAAAGAGAGAAAAGGCCGCCAATAAATCTTGGCCAGTTGTCAACCACACGTTTCTTATCCCCCTTTTCAATTTGTCGAAGCTTCGCTCTCGTATATGATCCTGATGTATATCCGCGTACTAGTTTGGAGCCGCTCCAAGATACTTCGTCTCGCCGTACGACTGCAGCCTCTTTCTTTCTTTCTCCCTTATTCTCTCTCTCTCTCTCTCTCTCTCTCTTTTCCTCTCTCCCTCTCTCTAGTTTTAAGATATTGTTTCCGTATTTTCTCTCTGACCTTATTCATTCTTTATCTCCCCGAGTCGGAATTTTAAATCCTAGACATTAAGTCTTCAAAGGGAGAAGACGGAAATAAATCCCTATTTGTATAGCATTAAACACAATAAGTGCTCCTTTAATGCTACAAATGAGAATTGAGTCTTCCAGAGTCGAAATGTCGGTTCAACATTAAATCTTCAAGGAGGAGAAAACGGCAATAACTTCCTATTTGTAGCATCAAAAGGAGCACAATGGAAGAGACCTGTGAAGACTTAATGTAGAACTAAGTTGGACTTAATGTAAAACTAAAATTTCGACCCGAGCTAATTCACCATAAACTTGTGCTATTACAAATATAATTCAGCTTAACTTTCGCCTAGTCTCAACATTGTAATCTTTTAGTCTTATTTTTGCTTTCTTCGCGCCGTTTCGCGGCTATGTAAATACCTTTTAATGTCAACTCAGCTCCTGGCTAATCATTACCTTGCTGTTAATGATACTTTCTTCATTGCCTTTTATATTATATATTTTACCTTTTTTAGTGCTTGAAAGGACTTGCGTTCAAAAACGCTCAATAAATAACATTCTCTCTCGATTCGAATAGTCAAAAAAACCTATTTGTTGAACGGAAAGTCCCGAGTTTTCACTGCGGTGTTGACAACCCCGTAGCTCCGTCTGTCGATAGTTAAAACCTTTCTTCATCATCGATTTACTCGGCGATGCTTGACGTTGAGGTATCGGCGGAGTCGTCGCGGTCGCGATTATTTCTTCACGCGTTAATTCCACGCGGCATGAAATAAAATCTTTCGTTAGGATCGCGCGGTGATTCATTATCAAGGCTGCGGCAATTTGTTACGTCGGGCCAAATTAATGGGGCAGGATTAATGGTTGGATTGTTGTTACAGTGTCTGGTAACAGGTGCGGTATTGCTATTGGCGACCGGCGGCGGCATGCCGATTGGTTACAGTGCCGTCTTGCTGCCGCAATTGTCGGAGCCCAACAGCATCGTGCAGGTGAATCAAAATCTCGGTTCCTGGATAGGTGAGAACGCGTTAATTAACACTAATTAACAAACCGACAGAGGCGACAGGGAGAAAGTGCGAGGCGTAGGGAAAAGCAATCGCGACCGCATTCATTCGCCGTTCGCGAATAATTGCATTTTGACGTCACAGCGTGCGCGATTTTAGATACTTTTTATGAACCCGTAAACGAGCGTTGCGGAGAACTCGGGCTTAACGCTTTTATTATTTCTTTATAAAGTTCCCTTTTCTCGCTGGAAGGGAGGCGGACGATTTATAACGACGAGCGATTTATATTGAATGGAGAGATCAATGTTTATGGACGGGGCGAGATCAGAGGAAAAGATACGAGAGAGAGAGGGAGAGGGAGAAAGATATTTCCTACGCAGACTTTACGAGTTCAAGAACCAACATGCAGGTTCAAGGTTGCGCTACCGCAACCCTCGCGCTAATGAAGCGATCGTCGGTCGTTGCAAACCGCACAACGTAACTGACCTACATACCGTTTCATTGAATAATCTTTATCAATGAGTGTCATGGCCAAGTTCGAGAGCGAAGGATATTGCTCTGTGTTATATTATAATGATAACGCTCAATGTCACAGCCGATCGCATAGAGATGCGCGATCACTGAAATCGTCACTTGAAGCGCGTTAACCACGATCGCGCGTAACGCCTTCCGGAATTTCGAGTTTCATCGCAAAGCAGACGACGTCTCGCTTGTCGATACCGCACGAGACGATCGTTTTCGATGAGCCGTCTTGCGTGTACAGGATGAGGCGATAACTATCACGTCACTTTGAGTATCTTCGAACTATGAGAGTGCAGGAAATTGTTGTCGAGTAATATAGGATAACAGCATAATTTTCTAGACTTGTATCGCGCGACTAGAATATGTTCATACTGAAGCCATAATTTATATATGACAGCAATGAACGAATAGTTTGATCAGATGTATTTTTGATCTGATTTTATATGAAACTTACCATACGCACAAAGAAATTTTAGAAAAGAAATCTTAAAAAATATGTCCCATATTGATGACATTTACGACGCTGCAGCCTGGATTGCGCGTTACTTCTAATGGGAAAAAAATGTCATCTCGGATAGTAACTTATGTGTAACGTGTAGTATTGCTATGTATGCGTGTCTACGAGGAGAAAAACAGGATATCCGTTATGTTTGTGATATAAATCATGGTATCTGTATAGCGATATGGAGTTATAATCGTGTTGTTCGCGTTGCTTTCTAAAATTCCTCACACTGCCTTGAAATTGTTTTGACGTTATAAATATATTCTAGCCGGGCAAGCTACCATGCTACTTTGCCTGCTCATGAATGTTGGATCTGTTCTTTTTCGAAAAACTTTCTGAACCGGTGGTACAATAAGTTAGAACACTGGTACAATAAGTTAGAATGTAACCAACTATACTTGTTTTATTTTAACTCACCGCACCGCAGTTCAGAAAGTTTTTCGACAAAGAACATACTTGTTTATACCTTCGAGAAAAATTGCCTGCGTGTGGGGGAAACGTTTATTTGAGAAATTTATTTGCAGAAATTGCATTGACAAATGAACATCATTTCGAACACCCGTTCTATAAATGTAGACTCTTTCCATCTTTCTTTAGTCGATAATAAAATATTTATATTTTCCGAAGGCATTCCAAGTGATAATAGTCATTGTATCATTCTGCGTATGTGTATATACGACACGCATAAGAGATGCAAGTAATACATTTCCTTCTGAAGCAAACGGCGCGAATCAATAATATCAGGGTGTAACGTTGCATTATCGCAGGGAATACGCTTTATCGCTCCGTAAAATTTGCGACGCTCGGCTTATTACGAATTTTCCACTTCGCAAACATCGGATATGTACACTGTTGTTATAGCAGCCGTATATTTTGCAGGGTGACAGCCAGACAGCCACGATAACTAAGGGTCGGTCGACTCTGCGAAAAATATTCGAAAATTTTGAACTTTCGGGCGTTTACTCACGGCAAGCCGAGTCGAATATTCGAGTCATCTTATTTCTGTGTTTAATCTCGTTAAATTTCTCCCCGAATACTCGTCAAGTCTTTCCTAACGAAGCTATTCGCAATGAATTTCTTTAATTACGCACGAGCCAACACGCTGAAGAAACAAGTTTACGACACGCGTGCGAGAAGTCTCACGTGTAAATGTTGATTGCATGTCACGGACGCGATGAGAATGCTGATCAAAGCAAAGCGAGAGAATCGGAATTTGTGCTAATCGGTCAATTCTACGTGGGTCCCGGGAAACGACGGTCCGATTAACACTCAGATGTCAAAGATCGAGTCAAGAAAAGTTTCCTGAGTCGAAATTTTAGTTCCACATTAAATCTTCTATTGTGCTCCTTTGATGCTACAAATGGGAAATTATTTCCGTTTCCTCTACTTAAAGACATAATGTAGAATCAAATGGATTTCAACTTGGATTGATTTATCTTTTCGTGTTAATTTTTTTCTACGTTTTTAGATAATATTTATAATTGTTAACCGGCATTTTTTTCTAATTTCTTTGCTTTTATGTTGCTATTATAATTCTAAACAGAATAGCGTTCGGAATTATTCCACATTTTTTCCGAACCTATTTTTCCCCTCGTGAATTCATCCGGAATTTCTATCTCCCGGAATTTTTATCTTCCAGAATTTTTATCATCCGGAATTTTTATTTTGATTCCTAGGATTTTGATAATTTCTCAGTGTGATATCTCAACGTCGCGCTATGTGGCGTGTCGCGTTTCGATAGTTTCGCGTGCGATAACGCGCACGACTAGGTTCGTGCCATTCAGGCTCAACTTTTAACATTTGCAGCAGAAGCGTCCTACGCACGGCCCCGATAACCGTGTACACACGCGATAAATAGACCACGTTAATTGCTTCGTCTACGATGCGCAATAACATTTTAACAAGCCCGTAAGAACTTTACGATAGGCGCGCAATCGCCGTTTGATGTACCTCCATTGATGCGATTAAATTCGCGTTTTACCGCCGTGCGTAAATTTCGACTATGTTTCTCTCGCCCTTTTACAGCTCGCGAATCCCTGAACTCTGACGAAAGACATGCGATCGAATTCCGCGCTCGAATTTTCGCCCGTAACGAAGAGAAATCATCGTATCCGCAAGAAGATATGAATTAAAAAAATTTTTCGTCAATATCACATTCGTATAATCTGAGAATTATACTTATTATAACGAAATTATTTAATCGATATTGATCTCCAAATTTGTAAATTAGTATTATTCGGGATTATTATGTTACGAGGTGTAATAATTCGCGATTGTTATTCATAATTCTATTTTATTCATCCTACCATTTATTATTTATGTCAACAATGTTTACCCGGGTGTTATTTATTTCGTATTTCAAGGCACCGCTGGATTATTCATTATGTAGCTTGTGCGTTATTTGCCGCAATCATATTAAAGCGCTAAATTGTTTGTCGCGCAGCCTCGGTTCACAGTTTGGCCACACCATTCGGCTCGCTGCTGTCGGGCCCGCTCACCGAAACGATCGGTCGACGGGGCACCCTCCAGTTGTCGGCGATTCCACTGTGCATAGGATGGTTGATCATCGGCTTCTCGAGGAGTGTGATCTCTATCTTAGTAGGAAGGGTGATCTGCGGTCTGTCTGTGGGCTTGATGGCGGTACCCGCGCAGGTATTTTACAAACGCTCGTGTAATCAGCGAATCTCGCCTCGTCGCGAGAGCGACGGTGTGCGCGATGCGTCTAGCTGAATATATGATAATGAATCCCGCGATGGCAAAATGAAAATTGCGAGAGAGCCGAGTTACACGCACGCAGAGAGATTACGTCTCAAAATCGACTTTGCTGCTCGATCAATGTTTCAACGTATTATAGGCTTGTTGTGTTTACGTTAATTGCTAATTGCTACTCACAACGATTATTTTACACGATTATGCGATATCATATAATTATGTAGTAATATTGTTATAATAGCCGTGTGTTTTGATCGACTCAGTTTCGCCCTAGTCTGACCAGGATCGGAGCCGTTATCACTTACAGCTCAATTTCGCGTTCGAGCTTTATTTCCTGGATTACCGTTCATAACTTTTACCGCCCGCTCTCGATAATAATCCTTACAGAAAGATTTCATCGTTTTCACTTGCTCATCGCCCGTTCTTAATCCGTTCCATTATATTTTTATGTTCGTTTCTTACACTCTCAGGCACGCGCGGTCCATTAAACGAAGGAGTATGACGAATATACGCGATTATTATGGAAAAGTGGCCTTTTTCCAAAAACGAAGTCACGCACTCATTCAGCCGAATGCACGCTTTCACTAGTCAAACTAACAGTTTTCACGGGCTAAGATATTTTTGTAAGGAAAAATATCGTGTCGATAAGAATACTGACGCTCGTCATTATTTTGAATCGCACCTCGGTCTCACGTGCAAATTCGTCAGGTGTTGTTGGGAGAAACGGCGGATACAGGTCTCCGTGGCTTTCTGGTGTGCGGCGGGTTCGCCGCGTACTGCTTGGGTATTCTACTAGTCTACATTCTCGGCGCCACTTTGAATTGGAAGCTCGTGGCCTTCTACGGCGTCGTACTCCCTGTCCTGTCCTTCATCGCGTTCTGCCTGCTGCCCGAGAGTCCTGTCTGGCTCATTAAAAAGAAGAAAATCGAGAAGGCAAGGAAAGCCTTTCTGTGGCTGAGAGGCGGAGACCTGGAACAGGTGAAGGAATACTTTCGCGTCTTGAAAACCCAATGAATCCCCGAGTCGAAATTTTAGTCCTACGTTAAGTCTAGTTTTTTTTTAGTTCTACATTAAGCTCCGTATTTTGAACTCTCTCTTATCGATCAAAGTGCTTCAAATGTAGCGTCTCAGTCAATCGGATGATTGCTGAGGCACTTTTATCAATAAGAAAGAGTTCAAAATGAAGACCTGAGTCTTCAAAGATCTTCTATTATGCTTCTGTAATGCTATAAATGGGAAGTTATTGCCGCTTTCCCCACTTTGAAGACTTAATATGTAAGTAAAATTTCGACTCGGGTCCGTTCGAATACAAGCCGCACGGACGACGCGACTCGCGTCGACCGACGTCGCGCGACCATCGATTCCAACTGATTGAATTAATTGATAGGCGAATGCAGAGGTTGTGATGATGGAAGCGAGGGTAAAAGCCGATCTGGTTGAAAAGCAACGTCAGGTCGAGAAAATCTCGCTGAGGCAGCGCGTCTCCTCAGTGATGTCCGTGATCCGCGATCCGGGCGTGCTGAAACCACTGATCATCATCAACGTATTCAACCTGCTCCAGTTGTGCAGCGGGACGTACGTTATCGTTTTCTACGCCGTCAATCTCGTCCAGGATATCGGTGAGCGCACGAGTCTCGATTTTATTTTCCGCTGATTCTGATTCATTCATGATTTCCGATCCCTTTCATCATTTCTCGTCTCGCGATCATACGCGTCTTCGCTCCGGCAGCAAAGCCGCTTGACTTTGTTTGAATATTTTGGCATTCCATTCCGCGCCAATTCCGATGACGATAATGATAAAATTGCGCTAAATTCGGACAGAATTACCGATCGAAAACGACTGCCGACAAACGAATTCTTTTCACTCAAACTTTGTGTCCCGATATTCTCTGTCAATACTGAAAGTCTACAGTTCGCGTTACGCATGCTTTAGATTTTCAGTATTGGCAGCGAATATCGAAACCGTAGCCTCGGTCTACCAATATGCACACGTGGGAAAAACAATTCCGTTAGCGTAGCAAAGTTTTCCGTTGCCCGGGGACCCAGCGAAAATTTGGTTGTTGGAACAGAAAGATTGCTGTAGGGAGTTTCTATTCGATCAAATGCTCTCAGTTCTCTCAACCGAGTTTTAATGCAGCTGAATGTTCACACGAGCGTGCTCAGTCGCAGTAACAGAGATATTCTTTCTTGCTACTGAGTTTTCATCTAGTTCCTTTCAGGGGATTCGATTGTAGAAACTAAGCTTTTTCCACGCGGAAATAAATGGTGAACGTCGTGTAAGGATCGGCTTTCCTGGCGCTTGAAGGGATCGAAGAAGAGGGGGGGGGGGGGCCGAATAGAAATATATCTAGTCGATCTGAGTCAAAAGTTAGTAGCTAGCTATTGATTAAATTTTCTAACTCGTTATTCGCTGATTATTCATTAAAACATATCGAATTTTATGATCTACTTTTCGTCCAACCTTCATGTATCAAATATGATGGAGTAGATAGTGCTGTATATTCTAAAATATATAATCTAGCTACTATATGCCCGCAACTAGCAAAGTTACGATTTTTCATCTCGCAACTGTAATTTCTTCTCTATAACTATCAGCTAACTTATTTACTTAGCCATTACCCAGCCTCTGGGAGAAGCAAGTATCACAACACTACTGACTAGTAGCGACATTAGACACAAGTTTCTTACCTGGTGGGCCGGATACTCACGAGGCTCAATTTCTATCAATCTATCTGGAGTTCGCTCTATGCTTTCTCACAGGTGGCGATAGTATAAACAACTACTTGGCGGCCGTGGTGACAGCAGTCGTCCGGTTCGTCTTCTCCATCGTCTCCTGCCTTATGTTCCTCCGAATAAGGAGGCGAGTCGTAAGTATCGCCTCGGCGCTTGGCACGGCGGTCTCCTCGTTGATTCTCGCGGGATACATGCTCGCTAGGCAGGAAGGGTCCTCTGTAGATGTAAGTATCCGGATTCGACGGTATTTGGTTCACCAGTTCGCGAGACTATATCTCCCGTCGCACTACGATCTCAATTGATTTCAGTCGTACATGCTGGCCGTATTCTTGCTGATCTACGTGGCCATTAACACAATAGGTCTGCTAACGCTACCGGCGCTGATGATCGGCGAGTTGATACCGATGCGGGCGCGCGGCGTCGGCGGCGGATGCACCTTCTGCATCTTCAATATACTTATATTCCTGATCACCAAGTTTTTCCCGTCGGTAAGCAGCCGCTCGGGCTCATCGATCGAACCTCCCTCCTTCTCTCTATATATCTATATATCTCTATCTACCCGTCTACCTTTTCCCTCGTCGTCGGGGATCAAAGTTTCACGACAGGAGAATATTTATTTCGCTCGTCGTCGGGGCGATCGAACGCGATCGCACGCGTGACAGATGGAATCGTATAGGTTTACACGGTTTGCCGCTTCGTCGATACGATTGGATGACCGAATCCTCCTTCCAGGTGAACAACGTGATTGGCGTCACCGGGATCTTCACTATCTTCGGCGTCTTCGGTCTGTTAGCGGCTGTTTTCCTTTACCTCGCCCTCCCGGAAACGAAGAGCAGTACTCTCGAGGAGATCGAGGATTACTTCAAGGTAAGGCGATTTGTCTGAATAGCAAAGCGAGATCGCGCGTCGTTCGATGCAACGGGCTGCAGTACGCTCAGTTGAACTGTCTCTTTACAGCAAAGTAATCTGCTATGGGTGACGAGGACGAAGGTCAAGAAAAGGAACACGATCACGATGAATAACATTTGAACGTCTCTCGGGGCGCGTGTAAATAAGTGCGAGATTTAATGTGCGTTAACTGTAATTTATACGACCGGTCCCGAGTAAATGCGTAATTATATATTTTTATATGGAGATCACACCCGAAGAATCGATTGCGTAATGATATTTTTATATATTACCGTTTTGTATAAGATATTTCAGTAACGCGTTGCGCAAATGAAGAAACGCAACTCGTCCTCGTATGACGGCGTGTCGATCAGACACGTACATGGAAAACTGTATTTGAACTTTGTCTGCGATTTACCTTCGAATAAAATAGAATTTCCGATGATAATTGCCGTCGACTATATCACGTACCACTGGTGAGATAGTCCGGTCAGTTAAAAAGAATTCGAATCGGAACTATTTCCAGCGCACTAGCAATCCATCCAGCGAGAAGTGGTCCGTCATCGACATCGATTCATTTCTGTCTGTTAGTGATCATTTTCCTTTACCTCGTTCTGCCGGGAACAAAGAGCAATACTCTCGAAAAGATCGAAGATTACTTCAAGGTAAAATGATTTGCTCGAATAGCGAAGCGAGCTCGCGTGTCGATCGAAGTGGTAAATTGTAGTATGCTCAATTGGACTGTTTCTTTATAGCCAAATAATTTACTACGAGTGACGAGGAAGAAGGTCGAAAGAAGGTACATGATTACGATGAAGAACGTTTGAGCGGCTCGTCTCTCGGTGCGCGTGTAAATAAGTGCGAGATGTAATGCGTTAGCTGTAATTTATACGACCGCAGGTTTGTCCGATTAAACGCGTGATTACGTATCTTTATATGGAGATCAGAATCGATTGCGAAAATAATTATCTTGTATATTACCGTTTTGTAAGAACACTTTTTCTCCCCATTCTGTCGGAATCCTTTTTTCTTACAATAAGTTTTGTTTAAATCCAAATCATTTTCTTGACCTGGCATCATAAACATATTCATTTTCTGTATTTCTGATTCCCACATTACAAGTTTAAAAATATTAGAGTGAAAATGACAAAGTCGAGCGGTTTCACGGACCCGAGTGTGGCGGATTAAAGACTCGACAATAAGTGTGGCTACCTAAAGTTAAGATAATACTAATCGGAAGTTTTTTTATTTCGAAGCATACGCACAAGCTTTCTCTCTCTCTCTCTCTCTCTCTCTCTCTCTCTCTCTTTCATTTGAATTTATTCATTTACTTTTACAGATATGACTTTTTTGGCGAAGTTTGCCATGATATATTACCATCGGCTCACATGTGATACCAAACACATACACAGTCTGTCACTTGAATAGGATTTATTTACCCTTGTCGTTCGACTTTTCACTCTCTTTCTTTTCATACACGTAACTATATAACGTTACTATATAGCGTCACGTTTCAACATTACTTTGAAATATCTTTTCGGTGTACACATATATATTTCTTCCGACCTGCAGAACATAATAGCTCCGCCACGTTTAACGTATCTTTTATCGCACGCGGCTATGAATATCGATTTATCGTCGCTAAACGATACGAACATCTTTGTCTTTCGGAGTACGTCGCATCTGACCGTTGGTCGTAAACGGTCATAAAAATATGCACAATTGTTTCATATTACATTTTAAAGGTAGTCGGAACTCGTTCGGGACGGTAAAGTGTGGTGATAAAGTATGGGTATATTACAAAGCGAGTTTAATTTAAGCATGGGGATTACGGAATTTCTCGCCGGCGTATTTCGCGGCAGCGCCCAGCTCCTCCTCGATACGCAGGATCTGGTTGTACTTGCACAGACGCTCCGATCGGCAGGGCGCGCCGGTCTTGATCTGACCGGTCGAGAGACCGACCACCAGGTCGGCGATGAACGTGTCCTCCGTTTCTCCGGAACGATGGGATACCATGGTGCCCCAGCCGTTGCTCTTCGCGAGATTGTGGGCGTTGATGGACTCGGTCACGCTGCCGATCTGATTGACCTTCAATAACAGGCAGTTGCAGGCCTTCTTCTCGATGGCCGTCTTGATCCTGAAACACGGAAGCACAACGGAAATTAAACTGAGCCGCTGTAAAAAAAAAAGTTTCGTACTCGTCGGATAAAATTGAAAATGAGGTTATCCAATTTTTCGTGAGATGTTAAAAATAATAAATTCGTAAATGTTTTGCGAAAAATTGAAAGCCAATTCTTTCACAATTAGTTTTAACTTTAATTTTTTGTTGTTTTTAGATAACTGAAAAAAACAGTCAATAAATATTATTGAGTGAAATTATGCTAAACTATGAAAGTAGCTTTGAATTCTTCGCAAAAATCTGTACGAACTTATCGAACACACGCAACTTAATAATCAGTGCTCCCCATTTAGTGGCACAAGTCGACACAAGTATCATTTTTGTTCCACGTTTAATAAGTAACAAAGATAGGATGATATTTGCGTCGACTTGTATCGCTAAAAAGGAAGCAGCCCATATAAAATACATGATAATTAACAGAGGAAGTCTGAAGTAAGAGCTGTCAAATGGAATGAGACACGAATTCGAGCGTTACCTCTCGGGATTAGTGACGGTGAGGTCATCACCGACGATCTGAATAGGGGTGGACGCGGTCATCGAGGTCCAGGAGTCCCAGCCGTCCTGATCGAAGGGATCCTCGATCGACACGATCGGGAAATCCTTGACGAATTCCAAGTACAGATTCTTCAATGCTTCAGGCTCCAAGTACGTGCTCGGGTCGGACTTCTCATTCTTGAAGTCCAAGTCGTACTTTCCGTTCTTGTAGAACTCGGACGCGGCGACGTCCATGCCAATCTTGATTTTCCCTTCGTAGCCGGCGATCTGTAAATTCATCGTGAGGTTATTCCGAGTTACTGATCGCCGTGAGATAATCATCGCGTCTTATGCCCGTTTCTACCATCCATAGTTTAAATCTAACCGACGATTATGGAATTTACCAATCGCATTGGCCAATTAGCTGAACTGATAAATTGCGTCAACTCCATTGAGTCGATTAGATTTAAATCATGATGGGCATCACAGACGTAAATTCCTCCGTCTACCTTGATAGCGTCTATGATCAGGTTGAGAGCTTCTTTGTTCTCCAAGATGTTGGGCGCAAATCCACCCTCGTCACCGACGGCCGTAGCGTCGAGGCCGAACTTCTTCTTGATGCCCGCCTTCAAGTGGTGATAGACTTCGCTGCCCATCTTCATGGCCTCCGTGAAGTTACTCGCGCCGGTCGGCAGGATCATGAACTCCTGCATGGCCAGCTTGTTGCCGGCGTGAGAGCCACCGTTGATCACATTGAACGCTGGTACGGGCAAGATAATTTCCTTGTTGCCAGCCAACTCGGCGATGTAGCTGTAACACGCGTTTACGAATTACTCATCAATGAGGAAAGTGGCAAGATAAACTCGCTATTCGATTACGAACGCGATATGTTGGCTTGGTGCACAAGACGATTCGTCATGTTCGTCTGATAAAGTAGAAAACCAAATTATTCAACTTCCATGAATAATTTTTATTAATGATGGGGGGGGGGGGTCCTTGAGTAATCGAAAGAAGTCAATAAGGTAGTTGTGAAATTAAGAAATTATTCGACCTGCAAATTCGACGACTCTAATGCCCAGAACACGGACATGAACAATGGCCATGGACATTAGACATTAGATTCATCAATTTTGTGAATCAAGTCATTTTTTACTTTCCCAACTAATCACCAACACCGACTCTTACTGGTCTCTTTCAATTGCTCGATAACTGTACATCCCGAGAGCCTTACTTATATATACTTTCAAGTAAACACAACATCGACTCGGTATTTATTTTAAGCATCTAAGAAAACTTCCCATTTTCCTCCCTACGTCCACACTTCCTATAAGATTTTAATAGAAATGTGACAAATCTTTTGCGGGAACCTAATACTTACTTGAAAAGGGACATGCCCTTTTGTTTAGCGCCAGCCTTGCAGATCGCCAAGGAGACACCGAGGATCGCGTTAGCTCCCAGCTTGGACTTGTTTGGCGTACCGTCCAACTTCAGCATGAGGTTATCGATCTCCGTTTGTTGCGTAACGTCCAGATTCGACTGTGGAATGGAAGATCGCCGGTCAATGTGTCTCCCAGCTCCTGATACGCGTCACATGTTACGCAAGCGGCATGGATACTATCCGATCAGAAAGCGATACCTTCAATAATTCAGGAGCGATGATGGAGTTGACGTTCTCCACGGCTTTGAAGACGGATTTGCCATGATATTTCGATTTGTCGTTATCCCTCATCTCCAAGGCCTCGTGGACTCCGGTGGACGCACCCGATGGCACCGCAGCACGGAAGAGTCCCAGTTCAGTGACTAGATCGACCTGAGAAAGAGAGAGAAAGGCAATAAACAACACGCATGCTAAGAGACATCTCAAAGACATCCTTTTATCTAACTAGACATCTTTTTATCTAAAAGACATCTTTATGACGTCTTAGGACATCTTAACATTATTTGCACAGAAAACAGTCTTAAAGCAAGAATAGATATTCTCACATATAAATAAGAAGATTATAATATTCTTACTTATATATGAGAATATCCATTCTTGATTTAAAACTCTTTTCTGTGTGGGATCGTTATGAAGATTTCCGAGGGAGTGTGCACATTTCTCCGAGATAATTGTATAATACTCCAATAATTAGATAACATATATACGTTACCTCAACCGTGGGATTTCCACGGGAGTCGTAGATCTGACGTGCCTTGATACTTTGGATAGGCATCTTGATGTTTGTCGATGTGAGGTATCTTGCTGCTAGGAAGCTGCAAGCAGCGCAACCAATTGAAGCAAAGATATCTACTTATTCTCTACTATCTCGTTTCGCGCCGAACGACGAATTCGCGTCGCGCGATACGCTCTACAAGATGACACCCGCGAGCCCGCGCATCGAGCTCTCAGTTATTGCAAATTAGACGCGAGATCCAAATTAGACACGAGCGGTCACGAGTTCCAAATTAGACTCGAGCGAATTTCACGCGAATTGGACGTTCGAGAAGTGATATCGCGACGTAAGTCGCGAAGTAACGTTAAACGCCGGCGATCGAGGCGGATCCCCGTTAACCTTCACGCCGGAGATCTCGACCTTGTCAAGGTCACCGTAGGACCCGCCCGTAATCTGAGAATGAGAGCGACGATCACTCCTCCTTATCGAGCGATTAGACGATTTTCCGCCGAGAGGATCACACAACTCGCGTCACCTTGTGATCCTTAATGACCTTGTAACTTGGTTTCGGAGCAGGTCGTTGCAACCGGCACGTAACGGCAGCATTTCCGCCGAGAGCTCGGCTGCGCGGAAAAGGTACGCGTGTTCGCATAGATAACACGGATCCCACGATGACGCGACGCGGATTTGCGAGGAAAAGCGAAGATTTTTCACAGATATACCGGCTGTCGTTGCGACTTCGCTCACCTGACGTGACTCGCGCGACAATCCGCTCGGACCGTTCGACGGTGAATGAGATTTGACCTAGCTGGTGACCTCCAGTTCTGATACAAGCGAGGTATCGATTGTAAAAGTTGCGGGAAGTTAGAACGTCGTGAGAGAACGCCTGATATAACTGCCTGCTGTGAATCTTAACGTCAAGATGCTGAAATGTAATGTGCCAACGTAATCGTTAACGCGTTTCGAAAAGTTAACGTTTTATCTCTCGTTATCGCGCTTATAGTGCCTATGAGGATTTTCTTCATAATTTCTTTTGCGGCGAGTTACATAACGAGCGACGCGCGCAGTAATTTCAACGCACGATTCCGTGGAGTATGATGGTAACTTAGCAGCTGGCCAATAGCGGAGAAGGTTCCTGAACGGCGGACGAAAGCGATTGGCCGGATCCGAAGGTGCGAACATACCAACTGCTTTCGTTGGTTACTTTCCAGCAAGAGACACGAGCCGACACAAATTTAGTTACATTATCTATCATCCTTTTCTTTACCAAATGTGAAATAAGGATAAATAATGGCGTAACTAGACTAATGTTGATTTGTGATTGTGAATCCGCATTTTGCTTTTCGATCATAACTTTTCGTCTAGAGCGGGAACGTGAAAAGTGAAGTTTTCAAATTAGAAAATTGACACTTTTCACGCTAAAAGAGAAGATTCACTATCAATCCCTAGAGCGTCTCCTCTAACGTAAAAAGTATAAAATTTCTAATTTGAAAACATTTCACGTTCCTGTCCTAGAGGAAATGTCACGTGGTCGAAAGGCTGATCGACAACGTGGCAGTCTTATTTTGCAGATAAACCCACTTTTTATTTTTTACGCGCTCGTGACTTTCGTTCAAATAAACATTTCGTACAAATAAATGTCAGAATCAGAAAAACTGTGTATAACGCAAAACAGTTTTTCAATATGGAAAATGTGAATATTCTTCTATCGAATAAGTCAATTTTCAATTATACATTCGCTTGCAGAACGGTTTGGATGCTTGAAATTTTTTTTTCCAATAAGTATCGCACACCGAGAGCATCTGATGTCTAATGGAAAATTTGCTTTTAAATAATTCTCAGAAAATTGTTTTTTTTTAACAACAGGATTGATATGTGAAATAAATCAAGTATTAATCGTACATGAAGTTTTTAAAATTAAAATTTTTATACACGATTGATAAATAAATATAATTTTTTACGCTCAAAAAACAGCGGTTAAACTTTCACAGGCCAAATACAAATCAATCCTGTTTTTATTAGTTTTTTCTGTTGGATGTCCGATATGTTTCGACATACTTCGAATGATTGTGCAATTTTCTATATTATACATAAAATTGCAACACATGGATTTTTACACACACATATTTGTAACATATATATTATACCTCCGTTCATAAATAATAAAGTGAAATAGCGGAACAATGAACTTTCGCGCGCGGAATGTCGAATGCGTCGATGAGTACGCTAATGAAATTTAATCGATTGAAGGAAAAGGAAATCTTTTCATTTTACAAGAGACAATATGCGCATTATTCTAGAAAATCAGAATCAGAAACTGTCAGAGTGGAGAGCAGCCGGAGAGAAGAGGAGGAAGCAGGAGAAAGTACAGAAGGAGAAGAGACCGCCGTTTAAAGTCGGAATCGTTCATCACCGTATTCATTCTCCGATAACGTTGTTGATGATTTTGCATATAGTCTCGGGAAGTCCACGATTGACGCAAACGAGGTAGAACCTCTAGCTTAATTTCCTGGTTGCGAGGATGATAGTACAGGCGCCGATTAACGAACTATTTATTAATCTTGCTGGTTTATTTAAAAAGGATCAATTGCGGACGGTGTCTTATATGTGATCGGATAGTTTAGCTCCGTTGAAAGTTGAAAACCAGCTCATGATATCGAGAGCCGCTGCCGATTATAAAGGCAGCGATAGTCAACAATAACGAACTTCGAAAATGTTCTCGAAGGAGTCAACAATGCGAGAGGCAGTAGACAACAAACATAAATTGTTTCGTTGTTTTCCGAGTGAAATTTCACTCCGAAAAATTCAGAGAGTAATAAATATTAAAAATCTCCACTCATCCAGGTGGGAAAGACAGATCGATTTAGGAGCAAAAGTTCTGTAAAATCGAAGAAACATTTGGCAAGAGGTAAAACGGCCAAGGCCCGTGACACGAATGGCGACAACAATGATGGAGATAAGGAAGATAATTCCGTAATCGGTCAATCTATTGGTAAATATTCAAACACCGAGAGACCTTAGCTACTCGTGTTATTAATCACTACGTAATCTCATTTACGCTTCGTTTCAGCGGAATCCTGATGCGAATGACGTAGCTGATGATGCTGCATGTTTGGGCGCGGCGAGATTCGATTTGGACGAATCGGAGCGGATAAAACGATATCACACCGCGGAATCTGGTTTCCAGGAAGTCACCTTTGTTTCAACATTTGACATTTACAGCGTGTAGCGCAGTTTGAAATTCTCGGGCGAAAGGGTGAGATATTTCACTCCTGCGACTCTGCGACATCATTGTATACGCGTTCTCGATCATTGCAGTGGCGACGGATTTAAAGAGGCGGTCGTTTATCCCTTCAGGGAAGAATCTTAATTTTTAAACTTAATTTTTAAACTTCAAAAATTTTTATAATTATAAATAACGGTAATTTTTAAATAAAACTAGACGTACACATATGTGTCAATATCCCTGAAGAGGTTATTTAATCTTTTCCCAAATAGTTCGATACATTTCACACACAAATATATACAGACGTTACTGAGCACATTTACAACGGTTTCTTATTGAAATCTGTGGTCGCCGCTTCGCACCGATATACAGAAGCGAAACGTTCAAGATCTGCCGCGCAAGCGACAAGCTCAAATGGGGGGAGGGGGGGGAGGGGATTGGCTGCGCGCGTCGCGATGTACAATATATATCCTTGTGTATAAATAAATATATTAAGACCTAAACTAATTTATGTATAAATAAATTACTTAGGTACGTACGGTAGGTAGAGAGAGAGCTGTGGCGTATTAATTCGCCGTTTTGCCGGCTCGCGAAACGGCGGTAATACTAATCAAAGTCCGGCAATAGGGACGCGCACGCGTCGTCCTATGGTCCTGTGATCGCGCGTTCCGACTGACGACAAAATCGAAATCGAATAATCCGATCGGGGCGCGAGGACACTCTCACACGCGAGCGTCGCGGGAGAGAGTTACGGTCTCTACCAATAAATACATCGCGTCGGATACGAATTATTTGCAAATATCGTCTCGCGACCGCGCGAGAGAGCGTGGATACACGAACACTGGGGGAGGAGATTGTACGTATTGGTTATTATTAACGATTACAACGAGCCGAGAACGAGCGCGTGTCTCGACAGTGCGCCGAACCGCGACCGAGCGCTCGGCGCGTTTCCTGGCACTTAAATTCGATCGTCCGACCGATCGCGCCTGCATACGTTTGTCCGTCCGTTCATTCGTTCGTTCGTCGATCCATTCTTAATTTAGTTTCAAAGTTTCGGAAGCGACCGTTTTCTTTTTCTCCAATTTTTCCGCGGATTTTTTTGCCTCCTAATTCTCTTTGAAGGAAAAAGTAAATTCGGGCGGCTTTCCGAACCGAACACGCGTGAATTTTTCTCAACGAATTTTTGTAACCTCGAGACAGAAGCCGGAGAAATCTGCGGATAAATCGGAGTGGAAAACGGTTTCTTTCCCGAAATTTGGAAACTGTGATTCTTGAGCGAAAATATTCTCGAACGACACCTGCGACGCGATCTCGCGTGCGCTCCGTAGCTTACAGATAAGAATGGATTTTATTCATTAACCTAACTTAATCGTATCTCTATCTCTCTCTTTCTTTCTCGGCAAATACGAGGGGATTCGTCGTTCACGGATCAACGGCAAGAAAAATCGATTCCAGCGAGCCGCGTTTACGGGGTATTGTCACCGTGGTGTCGTAGACGTGTAGACTGAAGCGAGGAGAGCGTCACCAGCTCGCGCTTGACTTTTTTCCCATTCTATTTGGATCCTGTCCGCCCCGTGATCGTAATTATAATCCTCTATCTTACTCACCACCGTCGGTTATAAGTTGCCGGCGAGTTTACGTCGTTAGCTCGATGTGTGTTAGTAAAATTTGGTCGGGCTCCCACTCTCGAACCTTCCCTCCCTCTTTAATCACGATATGCTGCTTAATATTTGTACGACGTGGAATTAATTTGTAATCGAGAGAATAACTCTTGGTAGAATAACTGTGTGATACATCGACATTTACTCGGCTCCGTCGGAACTTCGCCTCGAGTTATCAATCGCAGTGTCGCGCTGAAGGGGTTCGCCCGAGGTGGTCCCCGTGCTTACTTTCGCAAGCTTCCTGCCCGGCTGAAAAGTATTGTCTATTACAGTTGTCACGTGACGAAATTAACATTCGCCAGCCAGCTCGGGCTCGTCGAGTAACAATAATGATTACACCGAAGATATCCGGCTCGTTCCGTCGAATCATCCGCAAACTCCCGATCGGGTCCCCTCGATCGAACACCCTCGCTAACACGGGAAACGTCAGAAGCTCGGAGGATCTTAGATTTAGCGTTAGAATTCTCGCAGCGTCCCGTCGACGACGATGAGAATTCCGAGTCGAGGCGCAAAGCGCACCCTCTAACATTCGGCGTCCCGGCGAATGCGCGACGCGATTCCCTCACTGCCTCGCTATCTTTCCCTCGCCTATTCCTCGGCCTCATTCATCGCTATACGTCGCTATCGATCACCCAACAACAAAAGCCGGAGGAAGGCGAGGGACAACAAAGGATCTACCCCCGAGAACTGAATACACGCATCGCCGAGGACGACGCGAGGCGGCGCACCGGGTGCGCCACGCGCCCGCTCGCGTCACTCCCGTTCGTCCGCTCAACGTGTCTTCGGCAACTAAGCCAAGTAAGTTCTGGGATTAGTCTTGGAGATTCCGGGCGAGTCGCTCTTGGTGGTGCACGACCATGCCTCCTCGGCCAGACTGCCGTACCTCTGCACGCCCGGGAACGGCGGGCCGGAGCTCTGCGGCGAATAATAGCCGCCCTGCAGCTGGTAATAATTGCTGGATTGTTGCTGCTGGTACTGGTACTGATCGCCCGCGAGGACGTTGCTGTAGCCGGAGTAGGAGCCGTACTGGGACGAGTACGAGGAGGAGTAGCCGCGCTCGCTCAAGCTGCGGTAAGGCCCCGAGTGGTGGGGCCTACCCTCTTGTCAGACCGGGGTGCTCACCGCCGCTGTGCTTATGTACTCGATGTCGCCGATGCTCTTAACCCGACGGTGCCTCTTGCCGCCTGTCATCGGCCTCGGCGGCAGCTGCGGCGGTGGCGGTGAGTTGCTGCGCACGCTGCTCATGTATTGGCACTGGCTGGCGAGGCTGCCGGTGTCCGAGGACGACGACGGTGACGCCTTCTCGCTTCTAGGCCGGAGTCCGAACGCTCTGCTCAAGGATCCCTGTGGAGAAGACGCAGGCTAGTCGGTTAATCGGCAGAGATCGGCAGAGAGCGAGCGCGCGACCGGTCAAGCGGTGGATCTCGACTTCCCGGCTCGGTGAGGTCGGAAGCTACGGGCAAACGAGCGGTCGCCGGGACGCCCGAGTGCCGAGAGAGTTTCCGCAACGCGAAGTTGTGTCCGAGCTCCGAAGATGCCTAAGAAGAAACAACGTCCGGATGTTCCCCCGGACGGTTCTCAGACGGCTCTCCGCGCCGGACCGTCTTTCGCGTTGTCCCGGAAGTTACGAGGCGAAGGGCAAGCGTGGGAGAAGCGCTCGGAAATTTAAATAGCGATCCCACCTATTTAAGGGCTTCCGCTGCCGCTCGAAGCATCTTGCTGCATCGTGTTCAGAGTCTATTCTTAAGCTGGGTCTACAATGCAGCCGCAAGATCGTGCAGTCGCAGTCGTTCGGGCCGGATCACTTCCAATTCCAACGGCTAGATTGGTCGTGGTTGGAACTGGGAATGTACCGACTCGAGCAACAGTGACTTCGACGACTTCATCCTGAGTTGAAATTTTGATGCTACTTTGATCAAGGTAGTTGGAAATGTTACTTCTCGTTATTTTGTTACGGAAGAATAAAATATTCCTATACCGCGGGAGCCTAGAATATCGGTAGAGTATCGCTATTGAAATTCCACCAATGGCGTCTGCCGTGTCTTCACTGAAAAATGAATCCATCCGGCAATCAAACCGCGTTTCGGTTGGAGGAAACGAAATTTCTAGTTCTCGTGAACCACCATATTTGATTATGACAACGAGAAATTCGATTTCCTTCAGTCAAAACGAACATAGTTGTCCATTGTCAGGTAGACCCAACCGGATTCATTCTTCAGTGTTCGATTGGGACCGGAGAATCAGCGAGTAGGATTCAGTAGAGATTCGGGATCAGCTGAGTGATTGTTGCGTGATCGCAGACACGACGCAGGTGGGATGCACGTGCTACGACAAAGTGAAGGGAGTGTACCATCGCCTCGGTCACTCCGCAAACGAGCACCGACGATCGGCGGGGATTCGCCGATTGATCGCCGAACGCGACGATTTGAACGGTGTGCGAGCACAGGATCGGTGGAGGGAGACAACACTGACACTAGGGGGACTAGCGTGTACATACTGTATATCTTAATGGCGCATACCTGTGAGCTCCTCCACGACAACTAGTAAAGGACGAAATAAGGTCGATTAAGAATCCACACGTTGAATTTCCACATTGAAATCGTCAGTTTATATTTACACAATCGATTATGACGAGCGCGGGGCGCCGCGAGCCCCTCGCAGTCATAAATAATGATCCGCTATAAATAGTGCGTTCTCTCTCTCTCTCTCTCTCTCTCCCTCCCTCTCTCTCTTTCCCATTTCCGTTTTGCTACGTAATTAATTAATTCGAGCTGCATAATGCAATTTTAACCGCTACTCGCTATGAGGGTGTGTGCCTTAAGACACGGGACACTCTGGTTACATACATGAGGAGGACACGTGTTTAGCTAATATATGCTCGTTATATACAGTGTTTACAATGTGGCAGAGCGCGTACGTCGGTGTACTTGGCGCTGAGAATAGGGTGTAATCGCGGGATTAGGAGACGACGCGATCGCGTCGCCCGGGCGCGCGCCTCGGCGCCGCTGAATAATCGACGGATTTCCGAACACTTTGCGAGAAGCCTGTGTTCGCCTCTTCGCCTCTCCGTACGCTCGCCGGAACGCGGAAGAATCATCACCCCGCGACGAAATTCCCCGCGATAGTGATAAGCAAATCCCTCGATCGTGCAAAAGGAAAGAAATTCGCCGGAGCTTCCCCGGGGAGAATAGCGCGCGATAAATTTTCACTCATCCCCGTGTCGGCGCGCTCATACCCGCCGTCGTTAAACGCGCGCGCGAGAGATCCCCGAACTGCGATAAAAAAGAAAAAAAGGAAGAGGATCAACGACGACGACGAGGAGATGACGATGGTTGAGTTTGACAAATATTTTCCTTCGCGAGAGGAGGGAAACGAAGAGGGTCGCGAGCCCGGCGAACGTCCCGTCCGCGCGACACCCCTTTCTCAGCGCGGCAGATTGTCTGGCAATCTGATTGGACTATAAAGACGGAAACGAGGTGTACAAGTAGACGACTAAGTACAAAGGAGGAGGTGTTTCCGCGCGACTTGTTCTCGTTCCCTATAATTACGAGTGACACGGCTACACAAGGCTTAGACTCGCTTACTCCGTCAGTCTTTTCTCTTGCTTTCATCTCGCGAGAGCGGATCTCCGACGCTGAATTCGAGTGACCTGCGAACTCTCGAACCGGTACTCGCGCGCGATCGAGCGTCTCGACGAACCGACAAACAACGAATTCTCTCTATCCGGTAGCCCGGTACAATTCAGACTCCCCTCGTTCGAGGTGCGCTCGCTTGCCCGCAATTTCGAGGTCTGCACGATCGAGGTCGAGATCCACCACGGCATCGTTCGGACCTCAGCGAAGCGTCCGCCCCAGGTCGACCAATTAGTCGCGTTAAACGAAAATTTTCCCTCCCTCCCCTCCCACGTCTTCGTCGCGTCGCTCCGCTTCGCTGAGATCGTCGGGTTTCATCTCTCTCTCCCTCTCTCTCTCTCTCTCTCGGACGAGGAAGCGTTTGTGAAAGGAACGCTTCGTCGTACCACGATGTCGATGATGCGATACCGATGGCTTTCCTATGTTACTTTCGTAGATGAGAACGCGGGCACTGGTTCGCGATCGATCGCGACGCTCCGACCCGTTCCTCGCGATCGGAGGATCGTTCAGTGAAGAGATCGATCGTGACGCATGACAACCGGTCCTCCCGCGAGATTTTAAATCGAGATTTCCTTCCCGATCGAGGACGATAAGGGAAATAACATCGTGACGAAAAAAAAAGAAAACGAAAAAAATGATGAATGTAATTATAACGTCGCGAGAGTGAACGAAAAATCAGACGCGCGATCGATTGCTCACTCGCGTGCCCCCGCGAAGACCGTTTTCTCAAAGTCTCCTGTCGGTTTGAGGGATGAAAAGAATTCTTCCCGATCAGCAAATGCAGTTAGAATTGAGAACGAGGTGGTAGTGAGCTGATAATCACGCTCGAGTATCAATTTCGACCGGCGGCGGCCGGATCGGATTATCGGAGACTCCGCGAAAACGCGCTGTAATTATGACCGGATGCGGCGTGTGTAATGGAGACTCCGTGATAGGGGTTCCACGGCGATAGAACAATGTACAGTGAACTCTCGGAGAAAGAAATGGATATATGTATATTTATATATATATGTATCGAGATATAATATATATATATATATGTATAAATACCGAACCTTTTTCAAGTAAAGAAGACTGCAGGTCTGCGACGATCCACAGGATGCAGGGACAATGATTAACGTTAGGTCGAGCTCATAGCTCACAGCGTGAGATTCTGTTATTGACCCTCGTCGCTCCGAAACTTCGAGGACCGCTCAAGGACGACGGGGACTCCCGTATAGAGAATCAAACAGAAGGATCCCGCGCGTTGACCTCCGCCGAGCAAATATGTTAACACGTATCCATATTTGCGATCTCGTACGATTTGGGAGAGGAATCTTTGTTGCGCGCACACCAATTGACCAACTTGATCGCGCGAACAACGTTCTCTCCCAATGTTTATAATAATATTACAAATATTGCGGATGTATACGGGCGTAGGACAAATTGTTCAATTTACCGTGCTCTCTGCGTCATTTAGTTTACTCCCGCGATTCCGCGACCGAGTGTTCGCGAATCGGCGCTCACAGCCCGGAGGAATCGAATCGCTCGCGACGAGGGTCAATCACGGCCGTCACGGGAGAATACTCTTCGTCGTGGGGTGTCGTTATGCGAGCGTCCTTAATTAAAGCGATGCCATGCAGTCGTGCCAATGATTAAGAAAATCAAAGAGCTCTAATAATAAAAATCACACAGATGAGGTGCATGGAGATGAGCGCGGAGATGTAAACGGGACGCGGAGAGAGCAGCTTCGGCTAATGGCAGCGCGCTGATGATTGCACCGAATGGAATATCAATAATGAGTTTCTGCGTTTTTCAGTGCGCATACATGCACATTATGCTTAACCGGTCCGCGGGAGGGGGAGGGGGTGACTACGCTGTTTACAATTTACCGGACGAATTAACGTGTCAGGGAAATGATCCCGCTGGAAATGATGGATGGACGCTGATAATCCGCGTTGCTTATGATGATTTGACGCGAGATCGGGCGAATGTTAAACGGTCTTGATGCAAAGGAAATACGAATCTGTTTTATACATGTGTCTATGTACACACGACAAGGATATGTGCCGTTTTTATCTCTCTCTCTCTCTCTCTCTCTCTCTCTCTCACTTTATATATATATATCTTTCTCTCACTTTTTCTCGAGAAGGATGGGAAAAACGGGAAAGAAGGGAGAAAACGAATCCGTCACTTACGTGATCCTATAAAGGGAGGATTGAATATGCGGGGTCGAGTATGTGTCACACTGATATCGATGTTCTAGATATCTCTACGAGGCAATGGGCATGACGAAATCAAGCGTATGCTGAGAGAAGCGGCTCGCCGGGAGATAACTCTTCCGGAAGCTGTATCTCGCACTATCCTCGGTTCCCCTTCCAGTCCGAGACGTCCGGTCACGAAGTTCCCGACAACAATCGCTTCTTTCTCTCCTCCTGTCCCCCTTCCTTCCCCCCCATAAAATAACAATCCCCCGTAAAAATTCGCAGCTCGATATTAACGCGCGATATCGTACAAGCGCTCTGTCTAGATAGAACGCGAGACGAGAGGAAGCTTAAAGCGTGTTGCGTGAAAAATCTCCTAAGATAGGCAAAGCTCGACTCGAGCGCGCTACGCTTTCGTGAGCGATTACCTTAGCGGGGATCGCCCCGAGCGATCACACACACGCGATCGCGACAGACATGTCGGTGGACTGGAAGAGAGGATCAAGAAGAGTGCACGGGCGAAACGGGGGGCGGCATCGAGTTCCTGGTGCAATCGTGCGCGGACCAGGCCCTTGTCGAATCTAGACGGTACGTTACCCTGAGACTGGATCTGCGTCGGTCGACGGTGCCGGTGTGATTCGCCGTCATGTGGAGGGCCGACAGCGAGCTCTGATGATGCTGTAGGTGAAGCGCCCTGCTCCCACGACCGAGACTACCGCCCGCGCTCGCGGTGCTCATCGGACGACCCCCGGCGTTGCTGTTCCTCGGGACCACCTCCAGCTGACCTCTACGCAACACACCATCCTTCATGCACGCCTTTCTGCGTACGCGCACCCTTTCGCCGCCTATATGCACATACCTCGACCACGGACACACACACACGTTCGCGGCACGTGCTACAGCGAACCGCTCTTTCGTTTTTTCTCCCCTTGTCTTTCTTTTGTTTTTTTTTTTTATGAATTTCTCCGTTCTTTCTGTCCGAGCGCGCCAATTGGTCTCGTAAAAATATCTACCCGCTTTGCGGCATTTCGGCACTTTTCCCGCGTGGAAATTGGAATTTGTCGCGCGAGATGTGGGCGGTTTACTTTCCGTCGAATATTTCGGCAAATGAGCCTCTCGTCGCGCTCGGCGAGCGGGCCTCTCGACGACACTCGCTCGCTGACGACGTTCGGCAAATATTGGTAGTGGCTCGCTGCAGGTGCCCGAAACGGTAGAACGAGAGATCTATCTCATAATGAATATATCTAGTTACAACATAAATATACATACACAAGCATATTGTGCACCACCGATATAGAATATAATGTATATAATGTTTACCGGGCTGCCGAGCTGCGCAGGATCGTCACCGAGACCGACCGGGGCGCACCTCGCAGCCGCGCTAACCAGTCAACGAGAGAGTAAACATCGAACAGTCAAAGATGTATAAATATATATCAAAGTTGGCAAATCAGAAAAAGATAAAAGGAATCATAATGCACTGTGGTGTGATTCCTGGCCAGAGTGACGAGTCCGAGAGGTGCCGCGTCGAGAGTAGCGAGAAAGAGTCGCTCGGCAAGAGGGAAGGGGACAGCTCTATCTCTTTTTCTTTCCTTTCTAACACGTTACTAATGAAAACGAGAGAGGTACGACCGACAGTGACAAGTATGTAACCGAGGCTCGAGAATACTTGAAAAAATCTCCGGGAGATCACCGGCCGCCTCGAATTCCAACGGGAGACCCGTCTTCCCTTCGCGCCTTTCGGCGGCTCGGAAGAGGCCAAGTATTGCAAACTGGGGGTGTCTGACCAAGGATTACACCACGATCACTAAGATTAACATGTGCTGTACATAGCGCAGTGCAGTGCAGGCGGCAGCTGTGGGCTACGGCTCAGCTATGAGACACATTACCGGTGGATCCGCGATCGAGTGGACTTGCAGACCCAGCGAATCGCGCTGCGACTCCGCGCGCCGGGGGAGCACGGGCAAAGACGTGCTCCGGCACGTTCCACCGGGTAATCGCGTACGTTTGTATATGTACATTATGTCGGCTGTAACTGTATATTGTATTTACGTGTGTGTATGCCCGATATATCTATATATATCCAGGTATGGCATGTGTATTAAAGACTATAACACGGGTATTCCCGGCCGCGCCCGCCGCGAGACCACGAGCGCTCGAGTCGCGGCGAGCGGGCGCGTTCTTATGCACTCTATCCGTCAGCTCGATACACCAAGGGAGTCCACGTTTCAGCTTCGTTTCGATCAGTCGGTGCGCATCGAGGAAGATTCAATATCCACCAGGCCAAAACTCACCGGTCTTTCCAGTCGCTCGCGTCGTACGTGAGTATGTGTGTGTATGTGTGTATGTGTGTGTACATGGAAAAAACAATTCCATCGGTGTAGCCGAATTTTCCGTTGCCCGGGGAGCAGACGAAAACTCGGTGCCGGGAAGAGGGAGATTACTGTAGGAGGTTTCTACTCGGTCAGTTGCTCTCAGTTGTCTCAACCGGGTTTCAACGCAGCTAAATGTTCACGCGAGTCTGCTCCGTCCTGGTAACAGATACCGTCGTTTCTTGTAATCGCGAGTTTTCACTTCTTGCCACCGAGTTTTCATCCGATTTCTATTCATTCGCAAAGACCGAGATTTATTTTCCATGTACATCATGGACTTAGAAATCATTCACATTTTCATGTCGAGATGCATCACACAGCATACGGAAGGTTAAAACCTTTGAGTCGATTATCTTTGCTGGCAAATGGATCCCTCATCTTGTGCCATTTGGCCTTTCTTTGAAAACTACTATTATTAAATATTTGAATGTAGGCTCTTCATGAATTTCTTCTATTTTATATATTCTTATTATTACTGTATTATTATTGTAAGGTTTCTCCCGGTAAATCACGTATATAACTTTATATCAAAAGGATGATTCCCGTATAAATGAATAAATAAATAAATGATGGCTATTGGTAACTCGGCTGATCCGTCATTTCAACAGCTTGGCATGCTGTAATATATTATATTGAATTCTATACTATCAAAACACGATCAGCACGATTAGAATCACGATGAGTTTCGGCTTGGTAAATATTGAGCCTTTGTTGGAGCTCGGTATACTCGATGTATGGCGAAGGTACTATCGAGGCCATCCGCGCGATATCCGAGGAATGCTTTATGTCGATACTAAAAATCGAAGGCGAGCGTTGGCCTCGTGAGATTCAATCCTCTTTTCTCGACGCGGGGCAATTAATTTGACACGACGTGACCGCGTTGCAATCGCGTTGCGAAGGACGCGGGTAAGATCCAGATGAAAATTGTACTCCCTTCATATCCTTCGGTCCTCGGGATATTTACAACTTTCTCTCTCTCTCACACACTCTCGCACACATTCTCTCTCTCTCTCTCTCTCTCTCTCGCACTCTCTCGATCCCTTAGCGATACGTAAAGTTACGTTCTGTAGGTTACGAAAGCTTTTTGCGGAAGTTCACGGATACGGTCCTTACACGGCTACCCTAACTTTACTCGTAGAAATTCTAGAAAAGTAGCTGCCTATCGATTTACCGGCGACTATACAGTAACAGTAACTCTCTCTTTTTCTCTTTCTCTTCTTTCGCGGGCTAACGTAATTTTACGGCGCGAAACGCGAGTATCGATCGCTCGCGAGAAAAGCGTGGAGCGCGTTCGTCAGTTTCACCGTCGCCGACGACGAGGGGATCCGCCGGTGAATTTTTCCGACGGGACGTTTTCGCGAAAGCTTCGCGGATAAGAGGCTCTTCTCGCGGTCGGGAGAGAACGTGAGGTGTTCAAAGCACTCCCGGCCATTTTTGCTTGTGTGCTCGCGAAAGCACCCCGGCAAACAAATAATTGACGATACTCTAGCGAATGCCTCTACTTGCCGCGAAGACCGGCGCGGTCGCGCGACAGGATGTCACATACAGAAGAATAGAATTGGTCGAATTAACGTGACAATGAGGGCAATCCGAATGCGATTCGGTCGAAGGAAACAGAATTGTTGACTTTAAGAACAGAATTCAGCAAAGCTCAAAATTATCAATCGAAGCTTCGTCTCGTCTAAACTTCGAAAGCTTGAATTTCCGAACCTTCGACACATTATATTCGGATAATGAAATTTTGAAGTGTGAACATTCGAATATTTGGATGTTCAAATGTTCGGATGTTTGAATATTCGAAACTTCAAGAAGAACTGGAAAGTACGTACATTCGTTTTGTAGGCATAGCAAAAGGTATTTATTGCCCTAAAGAATATAATTTCCTCTCGCATTACGTTATGCCGTTACATATTATGAACGTCAAAATTTGCGTCCATTTTAAAATCAAGTTAATGAGATTTGTTATTTATTGTTTGTGCTTTCTTCATTCACTTTGCTTTAAACTAGACAGATACGAATCTTAGAACTGAATTAAAAATATACCTAAGCAACACGCATGTCTAAAAGACATTTTTACGACGTCTCAGGACGTCTTAATAATATCTAGATTAAACTGATACTCTTTAATCGCCCAACATTTTGTTGCAATCTCCAAAATTAGTTATACCGACAGCTTCGATATTTTTCGAATGGAGTTTGAAGTCTCAAATAATTCGATTTCGAATCTTTGAGTCTTCGAATTTTGTCGTGAAATATCGAAGTATTGTACCGAAGTTTCAAAGCTTCGAACAATACTAACCCCTAGAATTCAGTTCGTAAGAACTAGAAATTCTGTGTTTCCTTCAACGGAAACGCGTTCGGTACGTTTCCCGTCGCGTTAATTCAACCGATCTTCTTCGATACACGGCATGTGTCGGAGATTAATCGTTGGCCACGTGGACTACGGTGGATACGGGATGTCCGGTGTGCGACCGTGTCGTCGTAATTCGTTGCCTCACAATTCGCACCTGCTTGTTCTCTTTCGGCCGTTAACGCGGCGCTCATATCGAGAGCGCACCAGCTACGACGGGTATACGGCGATCGAGTCGGTTAGAGGATGAGGAGTAACGTAGACCGTAGACGATTTCTCGTCTTCCTGTTACCCTATCGCGCTGCTGTGTCCCCGTCTCGAAGCGGAGCCTCGGAAGAGCGCCTTTAGCGCGACCAGTGCTGCAGGAGGGCTCGACTGCGCTTTATTGTCTTTTGTTCGACTATCGAAGTCTTCGAAGGCCTTCCGCTTCTTCTTCCGGTTACGCGCAGCCTCCCGATCGACCGAACGCGACGGAACGAAAGGCAGTGAATCGCGTGAGCGTTTCGGTTTCGAGGAACGAGAACGTTCATCGCGCGTGAGAATTTTCCCTGTGAGCGACGACGCGCCTTCTCGCATCCCGGACGCATTTCGCGGTTTCATCGACCTCTCCCGCGGGGAGTACTCTTTGTGGCACTGGAGAAGCTCTGCGTTCGTTTTGTTCACGTGACTCGACGTGAGGTGTTCAAAGCGGCCGCTCTTCGCCGACGTACGAAGCGCGGTGAAAGCGTTAACAATGGCGAGCCTAAGGAGGCTTTAGGGGATGCAGCTGTCGAAGCCTCGAATGAACTTGTCGAATTCCCGAGGCGCTCCGGAGAGGCTCTTCGAAGCGGGACGCGCGCGAGTTCGCGGACGCGAGTTCGGATACTGTTCCGGACGTCGGTCTCGCTGGCAGCGAGAGCAGCGAGAGCAACGACGTCGTGTCGATTAGTGAGCGTTGTCCAGTGTCGCCTCTGGATGACAGTAGACTGAGTACCTGGCTGGCAGAACGAGCGCTTCTAACTCGGCGGTGAGGTGCCGTCGGATCATGTGCTTGGCCGGCGGTATGCCCAAAGCGGTCGCCATGGTGTCGCCGGTGAACGACGGCTCCAACACAACCAGAGCACCGTGGACGCCCGAGTCTGCGGCAGAGAAAAGCAGAACGTGTTCCTTCCGTCCGAAATCGCAGGGGATTCATCACGCTTCACGGAGGGGAGACGAAACGAATTCGAATCTAATCTAATAGCGTGTGTTATACGCATGTATAAGTAACAAGTTAATCCAGTTTTATTGCAACCACCCCGTTGCGTCAAGTTTCTTCGGCTCACAATTTCAGTTCACGATTTATCACACTTCGCACGGAACGTATGTCTGAATGAAAATATTGAAACAATCACTCCGTCTTTCTTCTAAATATTATTACGTTTTATAAAAAAAAAAAGAATTGGAGCGAATTTTCACTAGTTTGGAGTGAGGTTTCTCTCCAAGGAATTTAGAGAGTAAACAACGGGAGAAACGGCGGGAGGGATCTGACGTGCGCGTGGATTTCACCTTTCAAATTCTCGGCGTATTCCGTGAGATCGATATTTCTCGCCCACCGAATGAACCTCTGATTCGTCCAGACCAAAGGATCCGTGTCGACCTGCTCGCACTGGTGTCTCCTGACAGCGAGCGCCTATCACAGAAGCAGAGGGTCTCTTTAGAAAGGCCACCACTCGCCGGCCGCAATTAGGCCGTTTAATTAGCCGGGGAAGCGGTCTCGAGCGCTTTGCCCTCGCAACTCGTTATTCTAAGGCGATGCGAACTCGCTCACCTGTCGATCGTAGTTCAACATCCGCAGCAAATGAATACCGTGGACGATGCTCGCCTGGTGGAACTTCCTCGTCACCCCGAGCAGCTTCTCCAGCTCTTTCTTGCTCAGGTGGTCCAACATACGTGCGTCCACCATATTGGTGGCGAAGCTCTCCGAGTACTGAGCCAGGCCGAGATCCGGCAACCACTCGGAGCTCACCCAGGTGTGCCCGAGCTGGGCGATGCAGGGGTACCGGACGTGACTCGGGTGCCGATGCTCCTCGATAGCCAGACGCAGTTTCTTCCGGTGAAGGGGGTGAGTCACGCCCAAACCGGCCTCCAGCTCGGCGTCGCTCAGTTCAAGCAGAACCTGCAAGTACACGTTGCAAACGAACGGCGACATGTAAGACATAAATAGTTCCGGGGAAGAATATCGGACGGCCGATATCGAGACGACTGTGCAGGTCGTCGATTTACGTCTCGTCAGACATTGTCGGATATATCAGGTCTTCGCTTAGTTCGCGCGCGACAGACACGTCGGCCGATTTAACCCGACCGAAATCGATCCCGGCTACCGGGTTGCAACGAGCGAGGGTGTTTCGGACACTTTGCGCCCGCGTCGCACGGGCTAAACGGTCTCAAAGCTCGCCAATGAAACAGGCGACCACACTTCCTTTCCTTCCATACCTCCCCTTCCCCTCTCTCGCAATCCTATTCCTTTACCTTGCCCGACTTGACGTTCTCGGCACATCGCGGCCCGTACTGCGGCATTCCGAGAGCCACCTCTAACCACGCTAAAACGGTGGGTGCTCGCCATCGTTCCATGGGCACGGAGGCCGCTTCTCGTAGCAAACGAAGTTTCTCGGCGTAGCCCTCCTCGGTGAGTGGCGACCATGATCGATATGGATCAAAGCCGTCCGATCCCTCGTTGCCGCCGCTCCCGCCGCCGGAACTGTTCGCCGTCTTCCGGTGTCGCGAGCGGGCGAACACCCTGCCGAAAGGGAGAACAGTGATTTGTATCGTCGTATGTCGATGGAACATGATATTCGGGAGATTGGTTATTAATTTGTCTCGAGATATCGACTCTAACTCTTCGACCGAATTATATATAATAGGTCAAATAGTCCCGAGTGAGTTGCGTTTGAAGAGCTACAGCGAAGGGAAGTACGTGATCTACGAGTCCTCCCCACTCTCGAAAAGTCGTTAAAGAGTCCCTCTGTCCGTTAGACGTGGTACGGATCTGATTGGCCGATTAATGCGTATGTGGGAGTCGTTTGAATTTGATGCAGGATTGGTTAGACCTATAGCGGTTGTATAATTTGACGCGACAAGTGATGTTTTCTGCTGAAAATTTTGTCTGTGAATGCAAGTATTGTGATATTACGCGTATGTTTTTTTAAATAATCAATAATAGGATTATACCAGGATCAGATGGCGTGTAACCTACGCAAGCGCGTCCTGCAAAACGCAATCCTAAATAATTTATTGTTTTTCGAACAATGCGCGTTACCATTTTGCGAGAAAACAGAGAAACTATTTTCGATACTTTCAGAACGAAAATATTTTTTGCCCAAACCAATACCAATTTTCAACATTTCAAAATACTCTCTTTTCAGTGGACCCCCCCCCCCAAAAAACACGGTTTTTCACGGATCTCGCTCGGATTCCGCGGAAAATAACACGGCGAGAGAACGTGTCCGACTTGCTTTCGCGAGAATCGGTGGAGGGCGAGCGAGGATGTTTCTTGTCGCGAGACCTTCGTGCAGTTGCTAGATTCCGAATACGCGGCCAAAAACCGGGAAACTAGATCCCGGTACACTTAATGCGTTCCGTGCCTTGTCGTGTTAACGGCACGGCAGCATAATGGAAGCTTATGAGATTTGCACGGAGAAGCCGCTCTATAGCGAGAAAGAGCCGCCGCTTGGCACCATCCATCATTTAGAATAAATCACAACGCGAACGGCTCACGGGGATGAGGGCTTCTCGTCGATACAGCGGTCGCGCGGCGTCCGAAGGGACGTGATTGAAAAATCGATCGGTGTCTCCCCGTGTTCCCCGAAAAAAAGAAAAAAAGCACGGAGAAGTCGTCTCGCGATCGCCCGCGGAATCCCCGCGCCTCGCAGGTCCCCCGTTATTCTCCCGTTATTCGCAACTCTCGCGAATCCACGCGCGATGATACACACCCGTTGTGAAGTCGCAGTTCCTCCCGTTTACCGTGTTACGAATTCATTTCGCTCGTTTGCACGTTGTTAGGCGGCGAAAACTCGCGTGGTGATCGCGCACCCGCGTCGCCCCGGCATAAAGCTGAAAGTTGTCGCAAAGTGCAAAAACGTGCGGCAGCTGGGCCGCACGCGAACGCGCGAGATGGAAAAATCAATGGACAATTGCGGAGAGCGAGCGTTTTGCTCGCTCGCTTGCCAGCTTGCAAAACCGTCACGTTCGTCGTCGCGCGAACGAATCGTTGCGACTACTTCTTCGTTCCCATAGCGCGCGGGGAAACTCGCGGATCTTTCGGGGCTTTTACGGTGCCGCCGCCATCGCCGCCGGGACTATTATCCGCGACTATTATTCGCGGCTGGGTGTCGCGGACGCATAAATTACACGCGACAATGAAACGATTCAATTTCGTTAACATGTAAAATGTATCGCCGCGCTGACCGTAATCGCGATTAAGTGTTTGTCCAACGAGCCGCATAATCGATGTGTTTCACTTAATTAATACGTAATTAGTATCGTTGGCAGGACACGCGCGGCGCGAACGCGAAAAATAATTGTTCAAGCGGCGAAGTTCGTCGACGATACTCGATTTTATTTGTCTATCTGTCCCTCTTTCTCCCTCCTTCTTTATACTATTCTCATTGGAAAATTTCGTTGCATTGTATTCTTGACTTTTTGAATAATTCGATTTCGAATCTTCGAATTTCGTCGTCAAATCGTCGATTTATACTGAAGTTCCAAAGTTCCGGAGATGTCGAATAGTACTACCCCTAAAACTGTAGCTTCAAGGGCTTTCTCATCCCAAGGTATTATAATAAACTATATCTATCTATCCCTCCTTCTTTTTTATCGAGATTAGATTTTTAGAGTCGTTTTTCGAGCAGAGGAAAATTTCGACGATCGCTCGCTCGCGTAAAACGTCAAACGCGTCGCGCACGATAAAAGGCAACGAGGCGATGAGCTCTTTACCTTGAAATGGATCCCCATGTGCCGCCGCGAGTGGCGGAGGATCGCGAGTGCGCGGCAGGTGCGACGACAGGTGGAGGCTGCTTGTTCCGCCGCGGCTCAGATTCCAGCGGGCTGGATAGCTGCTCGACCGATCGCGATAGCGACGAGTTGTCCATGGACCTCGAGAAGGCGTTCAGGGGCGACAACGTGGGGCTGCAGTCCTTTGGTGTGGTCGCGGCTGAAAGTGGAAAAAGTACGCCCGGCTGAGCACACCCCTTACCGCACGATGTACCGTCAATTTTTCGTAACAGTCCCGCGCGTGGGACGGGGCAGGGGCAAGACAGAGGGGTGAAAGGGCGGGAGGGTGACGGCGGAAATAGATTCGTTGCGGAAATGTAATGAGAGCCGGTCGGTGAGAGTGGAGAATGCAATGATGAAAAGCCGGTCCGCTCTCTCGAAAGCATTAAACGGAGCCGATAAGAGCTCGCGCACAAGTCCACTCGACGATTGTATCGCGTGAACGTGAATGAGCGAATAAATTACTCGACAATTATCGCTCGAAATACGAGTCGAGTATTTTCGAGTCGAGGCTTCTCCCTGCCGGAGAGGCATTCGAGGGTCGGCCGAGAGAGCGAGTCCTCGACTGAGTGAAAATAATCTAACCCCGATGTTGCGCGTGTGAAAGCGAGCGATGCACTTTTCTTATGGTTTAAAAGAACCGGATTTGTTTCAATTCTTCCACGGATTTTTTCGGTCTCTTTCCCAGGGGTGGGAGAATTCGTTTGGAAAAATTCACGTGCGCTCGGTTGAAACCTGTCACATTTACATTTAAATGAAGTTAATATGTTGTATGATGTAACATTAGCTGATATAATATTAGTTTCATTTAACTCCAGTTAAGTGTACGAATTTATCTTCTTTGCGGAAAGAAGTAAATGCGGCAGGCTTTAACTGAACGTACGTGAATTTTTCCGTCCTTGAGGGAGAAACCGAAAAATCCGCGGGGAAATTGAAGAAAACAGCGGTTTCGTTTCTCGAGTTTTGAAAACTGTAACTTTTCCCTTCCGCGCGAAGACGTATCTCTGCCGCACTTTCGTCGTGTTAAACGAGACACGTGCGAGCGTGAATGATACACTTAGTATTAATTTATGAGTAATTATATACGCACAGCACGCGGGGAGGGTTACGGTGGCGTGTAATCAAAGTTAAACGGGTTAAACTTGGCTATCGACAAGCTGTCGTTGGTCGGTCGATGCGCCCGTGTTTTTTCGCCTCGTCTCTCGTCGCGCATACAAGGCTTCCGCTTTGCGCCACGCCACCTACCTCTTCGCGCACGCGGAGGGACTCTATTTTGCGCTCCGGCAAGGTCGCAGGCCATCATCCTGCTTAATGACACAGCAAGGAGAGAGAGAGAGAAAGAGAGAGAAAGAGAGAGAAAGAGAGAGAGAGAGAGAGAGAGAGAGAGAGAGAGGTGTAATCGATGCAAGTCACATAAAGAACACACAGAGCGGCGATTCGTGCAGCGATCCTGCTCGCGTGCAAAAAAGCCCCTTCGTGGGGGCACACAGCTCGTTCTTGTCATCCGTCAGGTTTACGGTATGTGCATGCGCATGCATCGGGCCACGTAGCAGGCAGGATTTGTATCAGGGACGCATCCTTGGGGGACGCCCCGTTGGTGTATCGACTTTTACGCCGCGAGAAAAACGATGATTTATTCGGCGAGTGCCCTCGATCCCTTTCGGTACCACCGTTCACCATATTAAGGGGCATTCTTTCGCACACACACAGCGCGCGTGCGCGCACACACACATTTAAGAAGAGATAAATGACTACAGGGTGGCCAGGATGAGATAGCGATCGCGTCGCCCAATTTTTCGTCACCGGCCGTCGCGGCTCCGGATTGCTCCGGAGATCCGCAGGAACGAAAGACAGAAAGAGAGAGAGAGAGAGAGAGAGAGAGACAGGGAGTATCAACCCGGCTGTGAGGATACGCGATGTAATTGTTCGCCCGCGATCGCGACCGTCGATCTTGCCTCCGCGTCTCGACGTAGCCGCGATCGACAGCGATCGATCGGCTGTCGATCGACTCGGTCGGATCCGATCATTCTGCGATCGCTCGAGGCGGAGAAAAAAAATAGGGGTGAGAGGGCAAAAGCAACATATATAGAGATAGAAAGAGAGAGATAAAGAGAGAGAGAGAGAGAAAGGGAAAGAAAGAGAGAGAAAAAGAGAGACAGAGAGAAAGAATAAAGCAGCAGAGGCGCTGATGGACACGACGACGACGACGAGAGGGGGGAAGGGGGGGGGGAGGGATTCGGATGGAGAGCGAGAGCCGAGTGACAAAGGAGGTGACGACGACGATCAGTGATTTATGCACTTGGACACTTACATTGGTATATGTGGGGTGGTGCTACGGAGGATACCACGGAGATGCTGTCCATGTCGAGACCGCTGCCCTCGACCGTAATTGTCGGCGTGCCTGCGCGGAAATATACACGGGACATCAATTTCAGAGAAGGCGTGGGAATGGCGGTGTGGATAAGGGAAGAGGGGGCGGGAGGGAAACGTCTCGGGCCGACGCGCGGGCTTCTCGCCCCGTTCGGAGCTCTGTCGGAGCTGTCAAGAACGAGCTTCTCTCCTTCAAAGGTCTCTCGCGGCCGTCCGGCAAGCCTTGTGTTCTTTATGCCGCCGCATCCTTTTCTCGCGCGGCACCTCGTTCACGGGAGGAAGGAGGGAGAGGTAGGAGGATAAGACACGCGAGTTATCCTCGCCGGGCAGACCGGAAGTGGAAGAAGGAGCGGGAACGCGCGAGTCCTGATGCGACGAGAGTGCCGAGCGACTCGAAGCGCTCGGGATTTTTTGCCGCGCGACGGACGCGGCCGTTAGCGCGAATTTCTATTTGACTAATAGGGAAAGTTTGAATTGACAACCTCACGCTCGCAGGGAAGGTAACGTCCAATTGACTAATTAACTTTTAATCCTCCGGCGCACACACGCTACTTCCGGCGAGCGTTCGAGAGGCTCGCTCGAAGAGCTCGGTCTGCTAAGATCGTGGGCATTTCGCTGATTAGCCGCGCGTATACATATATATCATATACTCGCGCGCACGTAGGGTAATTAAGTACAAATATGTATAAATCCGTGGTATCTCACGACGCTGAGAGCTACTCTCTCGTTATTCAGCGGCGTCGCCTCGCTCTCTCGAAAAGACGGATGGAACATGGCCGATATCGCGCGAGTAAATATTTAACCCGATAATGTAGCTCGATAAAACGCCGATTAATCGCCGAGAGACTCGCTCAAAGAGGCGCGTCTTTCGTCTACGTGTGCGCCCGTGCGAAAATCGCGCCAAGTGTAGCGTACACCTGGGCTCCTGCAACCGCTCTCCCTATTGACCGCAAATGTTTGCCGGGAAGCCCCCAATCGATCAAACCGTTCTGATGCAACGGCACGGCGATTGGCTGAATAATACATGAAGGAAGCGTGCTCGATTATACCACCACCTACGTTCGATTAACATTCGCGGCGGCCGACTGACGCCCGGTGTGGACTATTTTTCAAGCCGGTACTTAGCCGGATGCACCGTAACGCTCTCTAACTGGACGATTAATCTTGCCGCTCGTTGCATCTAAACGCCGGGAGTCATTATCTCCTAAGCGGGTGTCACCCGGATTGTGATTAATAATAACGCGTTGAATGGATGCTCCTCAAAAATGTCCCGTCGCCCGTCCTCAGAGACGGATTCTAACGATGCAATCAGCGGTCATTGCGCCACGTCTATCGGTTACGGTCGGGGCCGACGTCCACGTATCATGGTAACTGATGAGTCTTGATTTATAAGCGTAAGTCGGAGATATGTCCGGACGTTTATTATTAAGAATAACGCCGTCCGAGTTGGTGAAAAAGCATTCCGACGAGGGAAGGTCTGGAAGCGTTCCTCACCGACTTCCATGAGCCTCGGATAGGTCGTAGAGAAGCCGGAAATGAGATAAGTATTTTCTTACGACGGCAATATACGAGGAGCGTGGATACATGAAAAAAATATATACTTTTGGATAATCTCATTACAGAATTATAAAATACATTAAGCGACCTAACTTTCTTTACGAAAATACGTCTCTCATTTTTGACTTCTCTGAAATACCAAGACACGCTATCGAGCTTTATTACGACCCGAAAATCGAGACTCGTTTAAGAATGCCAAGCGTCGTAAGACGTACGGATAGATTCGTGGCTAAAGTTCACCGGGGATAAACGATCTGGCGACGAGTTGGCGAATTCGCGAAGAATCGCGAAGAATAACGGACTCTTGGCCGGAGTCGAAACTTACCGTCCGTCGTGGAATCCGACAGGTTCCCGCCGACGCTGGTCGCACCGCCGCTCTCTCGATCGCTGGATCCGCGGACGCCGCTGTCGGCGCTGCAGCTGCCGCGATCGCCGGCTTGGCCGCCGGAGGATCCCGCACCTGCACCGCCGCCCACGTTACCCACGGACACGCCGAGTTCGGTGGTGCCCAGCGGTGGCTGCGAATTCACGTGGGGGATGATGCCGCCGCTGCTGCCGCCTCCGCCGCCTCCGCCGCCCCCGCCGCCGCCGCTGCTGCTGCCGGCTCCGGGTGTCGCCGCGCCGTTCACGCTGCCGCGCGGGAAGGACACCAAGGACTCCTGGTCGCTCAGGCAGACCCCGCCGCCGCCGCCACGCTCCGCCAGTTGACGTTGGAGCTGCAAGTAGTTATGGAACGACCTTGAACGGACGCGAAGCGAGGAAGTCACGAGGCGACGAGGATACCTCGCGTCTGATCGCGGAACTGAGAAATCGCGCGAGAAACTCGGCAAGATTTACGCGTTAATTCGGTTTACCCGCGTTCGATAAGGTAAGCCTTCCGTTTTATCAAGAGCTTACGAAAGTTTGTCGGATTTCGTTGGCTTAAAAGACGTCATCTTACAGATGTGGAATTGGACAATAGCTTTGAAAGCGGTGGATAACAATGGCGGATACTTCGAATGACGACGTTGTATGTATTGTTTCGTCACTATTAATTAACCCTTCATTGGCACATTAATTTTTTTACCGCTTAATCAAGTAATTCTACACAGGCAGAAATCAAAGATTTTCACATGCTTTAAGAAAAGAATTCTTTGTTTATGTGTACAATAATTCAAGATTTCACAACTATAGGATCTTAATTTATTGTTTGGATCAATTTGACCTGTGAGTGCTAAATTGGTATTAAAGGATCATGAAATGGAAATCCGATGAACTTTCGCAAGTCTCTGATAGATTCAGAATTCCAAAGGCCCAGCGAGGAACGTCGATTTTGCGAAATTCCTCGAACTCGAAGCCGGCCTTCGAGCCCCGGCCCCGAGATTCTAAACTCGTTAATCCAGTTCGAGATTATGCGTGCGCGAGTAGGGCTCACCTCTTTTATGGTTGCGTGCGCGTGCGAGAGGGCGGCTTCTTTGTCCGCCAAACTAGCCGCGAGGCTCAGGCTTCGATCGGCCTCGTCCCTCGCCGCCCTTAGTAGACTCCAACGTTCCCTCTCCCGCTCCCGCTCGCGTTCCTCCGATGGCATGCCGGCTCCTTGCTGCTGAAGACGTCCCAGGGTCGCCTCGTTCTCCCGCATCCGCTGCAATCAACGGTCAAAGGGACCCACGTCCGGGCAGTAACTCCGCCCCAGAACCTTCACCGTCTACCGTGGCATGCAGAAGATTCGAAAATACGCGAAGAGCACGGCGAAGAAATGGCGGTCGAGATTTCGGTACCAGATTTCGTCGAGTGACGAGCGAATAACTAGCACGCCGCAGAAATTTGCTTTCGCCGTCCGAAAGAGAGAGACAAGTCCTCCGAGAACGATTCAAGATCAGTTTGTGAATTGACAGAATTTCAAGGAAACTGATTATTAAAATTTTGTGTAAATAACGGCCCACTGAAATTTTTGCATTATTTTCACTAGGTGAATATGTTCAAAAATAATATGTTAATAAGGTGAATGTAACATATGTTTCAACATAGTCCCGTATTAGAGTGACACAAAAATTTCAGTAGATCGTTACACGAAACTTTTTGCTGTACAGTAACAGAAAGAGAGCAATAAATGTATAAACCGTGATAAATAACTGCGATAGCGAGTATTATAATAAGAAAGTGCGCGAGAGATTATATTTTGCCGACGGAAAGACAGTTTATGAATGTACATATTGTGTGGATGACCCTCTTAAATAGTTGAAGGGTATGAATTTAAATTGCTAGATCGAGTCGGAATTTCTGATCTCAGGAAGGAGTGAGTTCCGAAAGGCGACGGCTGAAGTCCGGGACGAGTTCTGAAAGGTGGAGGCGCGACACGAAGGAGGTAGAAAACAGAGAATAGAGTTGGAGAGATGGATGGAGAGAGCTCAATCGCTTCGAGCGTCGCAACGAAGTCATAAATCAGCGGCGTAAAACGTTCGCGGGTTAATAATGAATTAAAAGCCGGACGCGCGGAGAGGCGCGCGAATTATGATCGATATTCCGCGAAACAACTTCGGCGCTGGCCGGACGAGCGATTCGCGGAGCAGGCCCGCGGCGAACAAACTAATATAACGCCGATGGTAGCAAATAGCCGGTGGAAATCAAATTGGACTCGAAAACAAATATCCGGCTGATATATTCCGCGAAAATGTCAATCGGACGTCCCGCGAAGCTGTTTCGCGTTATCCCGAGCCGAGCCGCGAGTGGAAAACCGCGGGAGAGTAGGACGGTTGAGGGGCGAGAGGGGCGCTCGAGAAAGCCGTATCTTTGACAAATGTGACACAGACGAACCTGTTTGACGTTGTCGCTCGATTATTCTGTCTCGCGCTGTAAGCATAATTAATACCCGGCGAATGTACAGCGCGCGCACGCGCCGCTAAGTGGAGTAATTGAGAACGTCCGGATGAACGTGGTGGAAATGTGAGATTTTCCAATGATAAATTTAATATATGCACGTCGTGAAATTGTACGAGTTAAAATCGTGCATAAAATTATTCCGATTCCCCCGTCACGGGCACCCCGCACACACTTCCGACATCTGACGGCACGTATCTGTCTGGATTTAAAAAGAGCAAATTTTTCTTCGTTGCCGGCGAGACTTTCGGGTAATAATTAAAAAAGGAAAAGGGAGAAACAAGAAAGAAAGAGAGAGAGAGAGAGAGAAATCGCGAGAAAAAGAGCGCGGGGTTTGGCGAAAAGTAAATTACGGGATTACGTCAATCTGCGTTCCGGGAGAGCGCTGGGCGATTAAGCGACGGGATAATTCGATTTTTCGCGCGCGATTATGTTCCGACAGCGCGGCAGACGTGACGTTTACTATCGACTATTAGCCACTCCGTCGACGATATCGACTACGGCAAAGTTAATCCACTTATCTTTCCCTCAAGCGCGCAAGTAACTCTGTCGTACGTATAACAGGTGTTGCAGCTGCAGGTTTATCGGTTAAACTTCGCGGCAACGCGGTTACTACAGCCGGCGTGGATCACTCGGCCGGGCGTCGGCTGTTAGCACGTCGCAGTTTCGCCGTCAAAAACTATATCGCGCGGCCGAGAAGAGAGAGCGCCGACGAGTTCTTCGTTACGCGGTATAATTGCGCCGCTAAAAGCGCCGGTGTACGCGCGAAAAGCGAAGTTTCCCGCTCGCGAAAATTCCCCTCCTCCGTTGGGCGTGTCAATAGATCAATATATGCAATAGATTATATGAGTATTTAAAAGATACACGTCCATGAAGAAATAGGTATATTTGAAGAAAATAGAAAAGTCAAACATTTATGTTCTTCTTAAAAAACAAGTGAAATATTTAGATGTTCGATTTAAGTGGATCACTCTGTATGTTATTAGACATTCTTTCTCTCTCTCTCTCTCTCTCTCTCGTTTTTGTTACGCATCACGGATCTACCATTTCAAACACGGTACAAGAATATCCGATTACTTGAAAAATTAATATCGCTTCATAAGCGCTTCGCGGGCGAGTTTGAGAGGAGAGTACGATGGAATTACATTTTTATTAGCGTCCCGCGAGCGCTCGCCAGCGTCTCAACTTCTTTATTATAATTTCAACGGAATTATATCGAGTTCATAAACATTCATAAGGTGCATTGAAATACTCGGGGGCGGGCCCGGCTCCGTGCTAAATATGCGGAGGATGTCTGCAATTTTCCGACGCGCCAAAGAAGAACCTAAGCAGTTTGGACGCTTCAGCNGGGGGGGGGGGGGTTCATAAACGCATCGTCGAATTATGACGTTGTATGATAAACAGGTAGGACCAGCGCGCACGTCGAGACTCGCAAAACCGAACAAAGTCCGGCGAGTTGAAAGAGATTGCGCGCGAAAACATGGCGCGAACGTGTCTATTACGGGCCACCACTTGCTTTGAGCTCAATTACGGATGTCGCGTTCAGAACGCGCCGTAAGATCCGAGCTCAAAGAGAGGATATCGGGTGTTTTGCATAAAGGAATTAGAGATAAGTATTGCGTATCCTTTCTAGTAATACGCGACGCGAAATCGAGCGATTTCGAGATAACTCGAGATGGAAGTTTCAAAGAAGAAGATTAAATCGCGCAAAAGCGAACAAGGTCGGAGAAGGAGGATTCGTCGTGGGATAATTTAAAAATTGTACCAGCGATGTTATCGTACATATACGCTCCGAATGAAGAGATACAGTAACATGTTATCCGGGGAAATTAGATACGAGAACGGGGGAGAAAATAGAAAGAGAAAGAGAGAGAAAGAGAGAGTTCTTTCTCGTTCGACCTCGCGAGCATGGTCTTGTCGAAGAGGAGAAAATCGAGGACAACGCGAGATAGAAAATCATAAGGCCGTGTACCGAGCGTGGTAACGTGTCGGCACTTGCCGGAGATAAAGTGGTTTATGCAGCGGAGAGAGAAAGAAGAGACGGAGTGAGAGGGAGAGAGAGAAAGGAAAGGAAAGAGAGAGATAGGTGAAATGGGAGAGAGGACTCGGGCGAAAAAGGAAGAGAGATAAAAGCGAGGGAAAATTGACGGGGCGCTTTACGGCGAGGAAACTACCGTAAAACCGGAGGCGACGCGTGTATTCTTTCGGGACAACGGAGCCGCTGGCGAAGAAGCTCGCGCGACTACGGGCGCGTGCACCGCGTCGTAGTCGGTGTGTGACACTGTGTAGCCTGATATTCTCTCATCAGGTGCCTTCCTCCGAGTAACGAAGTCGTTTCTCGGACGATGACAGGTAGCGGAATTTCAACTTCCGCGAGATCAGACTCGCACAGGTGTGCGAAGGGGTGAATCGTCGCCGGTCTTGCTTCTCGTGAGACAAGCGTTACGAATACACAGCTCTCTTTTAAGCGTGTCTCCTTGGAAAGTTCGCGGTAACTTTACGCAGATGGGCGCAGGCAACCCGGCGGAAAAGCGGTTCCGCGCGGAGATACTGGATTTAACGAATTTCGTGTAAACAGGTGTGCGCGTCCGTAACGCAATTAACTCTCTCCGCTGAATTAACTCCTCACTCGTGCAACTCGCGCATCGCGTTTTCTTTATAATGTACGCACGCTGTACATGCAGTTCATAACACTCCGGACGTCGGTAGGTTTCATTTCAGCTATCTGCTGTGAAATTCCGTTTGCTCCCGCGATGGCCGAGAGCGAACGCGTGCGCACGTGTATGTGTGTGTGTGTGTATGTGAATGATGGGAAGAGATAGATAGAGAGGAAGGGGAAGGAGGGAGACGTTAAATGTACGTCACAAAAGCGCGGAATCTTATTAATTAATTGCGGGCTCCTTCGTCCACGGTAGCGTGCGCTGTGTAATAACATTTTTATTAAAAATACCAACATCACCGTGGGACGGTAATGTTATGACGACGGCGCTTTTGATCTTCGCACGGCAACGTCGCCCGTCGGGAACAATACTATTAATTATTCTTAACGCTCTTCGGGCTGCGCGCGAAACCGGTATCCGTCCCATCTCGCCGCGGGGCATTAAAAAGGGTGTTTCCGCGAAGTTGTCGCGCGATAAATTCGCCATCGCGCGTCGCATTAATTCTCACGATCGATCACGTTAGTTACCTCCCCTCCGCTTCGTTATCCGGCCGTCTGAAAGTTCCACGTAACATTATTAATAATTATTTTTCATTACGGTCTGACATATTTTTCACATTTCATTCAACATTTTTCGTCCCGCTGCCTCATTTAATCCCGTCCCGATCGGCTTCAGGTTCTTGTAAAACGTACTCGGGCTGCCTTTTAATGATTCGAATTTAATTATCTCCGACCTAATTAATTTCTCTCCCGCGAAATTAAACGGCGATCTCTCGCACGGTCTTTTTACTTGTTAATATCGCATTCTAATTTACCGTTCCCGTCGCGCAAATATAATTTCATTAAAGACGAAACGCGGGGGAATTTCGCCGGCTGTTTCCTGTCCCCGAATAATCCCACGCGGCTGTGTGTGCGTCCAGGATTTCGCGTGTGTGGGCCTTCCGAGACAGCGGGACAGCGGCTCGAACCTTTCGACGAGAATCGAGGCTGAGCCTCGCCTTTGTTCCGGGGTTGATAACAATCGGTGTAGCGACAAAGGCTCGCTACATTCTCCCTCTTTATCTCGGTACATCGTTACACATTGGCTTAAGACTAAACGAACGGACCCGTTATACCGGCGAGGGCAATCTCGACGCGCGCTACGATCCACGAAGTAGGTCCTTCAGGCTTGCTCCAGCGGTAATGGTCTCACCCGTGATTTTCGTTATCGTGTCTCATCCCCGGAGCGACCTGAGCTCGGGGCTAAATTAATTTGACGTACAACGAGCTCACATTGTTGCCGCGTTTCCGCGTAATAACGTTTCCGCAGAGATCCACCTCGCGAGAAGTCCCGTTTTCAATTTTGCCGTTCGCGTTTCCCAACCGTTAGCCAGCCAGGTTATCAGCCGCAGGAGCACTTTGAGAGTATCGATTTATAATATATGTCGGTATTAAATCAGCATCAGATGTTGGCGGTGAATTTCTGAGTGACGCTGCCGGCATGCCCGCGCGTTCGCTCGCGGGTTAATGAAGTTTCAAGAACAAGACGATTACTGATTAATCGCCGAGAGAGCGCAGTGCGCCGATTGCGCATTTAAAAGTTTTTAATTGTGTGCCCGCACAATGGTGTGCGCGCACCGGGAATCGCCGTTGCGGCTGCGAGATCCCGTGGGCTTTTTGTTCTCCTCGCGATATTTCCACGTCGCTTCCGTGAAGACGAATTAGAGGGGAAATTAAAAGCCACCACACGGAGGTGGTTTCACTAGTCGCTCGTTTCTCGCGTTCTTCTCGGCCACCATTAGCCGGAGCTCGCCACTTCGGCGAGCGAATGGAGAATTTTGTTATTAAACGATCGAGTCGATTAACCGTGTCGCGCTTTATCGAACATGCGTTTATGATAAGGAAGCGAAGTCTCGCGCTGCCTCCAGTCTCTTCTAACTGCACGTAGAAAAATAATTTTGCTGTTGTTGCGGCGAAACCATCGTTGTTATCGCGTGTTCGTTGCGACAACGATAAAACTTGATCGGGCATAACCAAATTAGCAACTTATTAGAGAAGAAAGAGTTTTGTTGCAAAACGGTAAAAAGCTTGATGTTAAATTTTACACATTTCACATGGCTCAAACAGCCCATATAAATTTTCATGTTAATTTAACATAAGACGAATATGTTGAAAAATAACACAGATATTATGTAAAAAATTAACACAAAATTAATATGCATGTTAATCGACACTGAAGTATAAAATGTGTTATTTTAACATTTATATATGTTGAATATTGATTCAAAACAAAATATATATTTTAAGATAACAGAATATGTTAAATTGACATACGGATATGTTAAAAATTAGGGTATAAAAATTTTAACAGGAACTGATTTTAACAAAATTGCAAAATGTTTTTGTAGGATAGAAAAATTCCGCTGAGTGAATTTGTCTTTAGAACACGTTAATTTGCCGTGATAATGAAATAATGTTTTCCTATATTTATTAATTTGTTCTTATTCAGCAAAATAATTTGTAGACATAGCAATTAATATTCCTAACAAATCGTTTCATCGTGCACATAATGACTGACAGATTCTGCCGCGACAGTATAAAATTTGCTGTGCCGGCAGATTATTTTTCTCCGCGTGGTGTTTGCCGTGCGTCGTAGAGAGTCCGGAATTAGAAAGAGCTGCCGGTGGGTCGCTAATGTGGACACTTTCACACGTCTTAGAATAAGTCGAAGTGATGCACGGAACGTCCACAAAATGATTTCGAATGGTGGATATTTATAAATCCTAACGACGCGCACCGTGTCGTCGGCCCTTTATGTCGGCGGCAATTAATACGTCGGTCCGGAAACAGGAGAAAAGAAAGTGGCCGCTCTCTCGCCGGCGCTATTTCGAGCGTCGTCGTCGGAATTGTAAAAGCCCACGGAGATAACCCGTTCCGTAGTGGTGCGCTCCAACAACCGAATTACATAGTTGGAGCGGGCGACTCGGCCGAACTCGTCGGTGTCGCGCCTCGTCCTTCGTCCCTGCGTTCGTACGTTACTTAATCCTCCACTTCACAATGGATCCCGCCATTAACGGGCGTACTTCCGATCTCTTTCTCCCGCGGATATTTTTATACGCTGGCGCACGTCGACGGAAGAAGCGATCCGGGGAAGAAATTATGGGAGCTCCGCCGTCGCCGCCGAGGCGTCTTGGAAAGTTGAACTTTCATAAATATCGAGCGCGACGTGGTCGCGCGCGTGCGTTTCTCGCCGTTCAGTCTCATCGCCTTTCTTAATTCATCGCGTCCGCGACGCCTCTATCGAAAATCGATTCTTCTCTATGCGAGACATGGAAATTCACAAGAGTGGGGTTACCGCTCGCGCCGGCTGTTTACCGTTCGCGGAATGCGAGAAAGGGAGAGATTAAGAGCGGCGGGCGATTAAAATTCCCGAGGACGCGACTTCTGCCGGTCGAATTGCGTGAGACGTGTCTCACGAGAGCGCGAACGGAGCTCGCGCGCTCGACGGGAATCGAGCGAGGAGGATCTCCAAACCGGTCGCGTCGTGATGAATTATGGAAATATTATTTTCGCAGATGCCATCGATTATTATCGACGGTGGGAAGCCTCCTTTTCTCAGGCACTCTTGCCAGCCGCTGAAAGAATTATGGAATCTCAATCCAATATCTTCGGTTCCGACAATCTCCCCGGAACCTCTCCGGTATAAATCTAAAGTAATAACTGTCTCACATGAGGGAGCGAGGGAAGATTTTTCGCTCGTCGGGAATAGACGTTCCATCGTCCGCGGAATTTCGACCGCGTCACCGAGGCGTCTCCTCGAAATTTCATGAGGTACCATTAAAATCGTTCAGCCAAACGCGAAACGATCGCTCGATCATCCCGCTCGAGAGAGAGAGACGCCGCTCGCTCGCCGTGCGCCGCTTCTCGCGCTCGTGCACTTCCCAGAGTCGTTATCTGAATCGAAATTTTAGATCTACTTTGGATCCGTATTTTCTAATATCTGTAGCTTTTGGAGGATCGATGTAGGTTTGATTTATATGGAAACTTTGGTCCTACTTTGACCTCTTAAAGAAGAAGATACACAAAATGCCACTTATAGGTTCTAAAAATAACTGTGCCTTGAATAATTATATGATAAAATATTTCTGTCCCATAGAAACTAATGTTGCTCTTCTTCTTTATAAATATTACATATTTTAACATATTTAAATCTCTATATTTATCACTTTAATTGATTGTAGGATTCAAAAATCATTGAGAAAATAAGAATTTTGAGTTAGTTACACTGCAAAAATTTAAGAAGAATTTAGAAGTATCACAGTGGGAGCGGCAAACCGTTCAAGTAGAATTTACAGACTTTAAATAGAAGTTGTAGGTTAATTAGAACTAAAAGAGGTTGCCATAAGCTTCAGAGTAGGTGCTGAATGGAATTTTTTTCAAGTTGGAAGGAGGATCAAAATTTCGATTCGGGTAGCAGCTCCGAAAGAAAAGGGGAGAAAAAAGAGAGCGTGTTCGAAAACACGCGAAGAGTAACTGTAATCGGCTGCACCGTCACTCACCTGTTCGTAATTTCGTATGAAATCGCGAAGCTCGCGTTCCTTGTCCTCGAGAGTGCCGTAGAGAGCCTTCATCTGATTGAGGAGGTCGAACTTCTCGGCTTTGAGCCGCTTCCGGTCAGCCTTGAGCGCCTGTAGCGCTTCCTTCGCGTGCTGCAGCTCCATTTCCAAGGCGACGAAGCGCGCCTCTTCCTCCATTGCGGCGTCCTCGGCGCCGACTTCGCCGCGTGCCGCGCCGCTCAGCAATAGCCTCCTCAGCCTCGCGACCTCCGCCACCAGCCGCTCGTTCTCGAGTCGCAGCCTCCTGGTGCTGGCCAGCTCCACGGGCCCGCCGCTGCCGTGGATGTTGGACAGCCTGGACGCCACCACCGGGTCACCGATTCCTAGATGTCCAGGAAGAGAGCGAAGTCGTGAAAAGATCATTCCATTTTGTACGCACTCGAGGCGTGGAATTATATATGGGAACGACACGGTTGATTTTTTTCATTCGTCACTTACTCCTCGTTGTATTAACTTCGCGGGAATTAAATTTATTCTTCGAGTAGAGAAGGAGGGAAGGGGAGAGAGCGCATGGGAAGAGAAATTTATACAAATTTTTAATTTACTCTATTTTACATCTCCCGCGTCACGCACATTTTGCGTGTTTATCGCGAGCCACGGTTCTTTTACCATCTTGGTGAAGGCGGAGAATAGGGATCTCATTATCGCGATTACGAGGCCATCAAAGTGACTCCGTGCGCCGCTTCTTTATTGAATAGCCGTGAATTATTTCCTCGAGAACGTCGTTGGTTAACTTATGAAGTCACGGCTTAAGACGTGGCTTAGAACTCTCAGGTCTCTCTCTCTCTCTCTCTCTCTCTCTCTCTTCCGTCCTCTTGCTTATAACGGAAGATCTATCTCAAAATGGCGGTGACCATCTTGAAGATTCCCTGATGCACTTAGCAGGTGGCACAATGCAAAACGGTAACGGCGGCAGAACGCCATTGAGACAATCTGCGCACGGCCGCTCAAAGGGCCCGAATGGAAAAGAAAGGCCAGTCGGAGTGAAGGCAAGGGGGAGAGGGAGGGGAGTAGAGTCTTCCATAATTGAACGTCGGGCTACCCACCGAGAGAATTAGCCGGGGACGTCGGTCTGCTGCCCGGTGCCGGTCCGGGGGGTTCATTGTCGTCGTCGCCGCGCGCGTCGCCGTCCACCAGGTCCTTGTCGGCGTCTTTCTCGTGGTCGTTCATCTCTTTGCCGGAGGATCGCAGAGAGTCGCGATTGGTCGAGATCCGGAGCCGCTCCACGCTGGAGCGATCGCTGCCGCCGCGATGCAGGAAGCCGCCGCTCCTGTTGGCCGGTCCGCGATCCGGACTGGCGCTGCCCGACCGAGAGTCCACGCTACCCCCGGACCCACCCAAGCGCGTCTTCTCCAAGGCGGGGGCGTAAGGACGGCGAGCCTTCTCGCTCGGGCTGCGACAGGGCGAGCCATTTCTTCGTTCTGTGATCAGCGGGAGAGAACAATCAAGACTCGATAGAGTTTAGACTCGGGAATAGTTCCTGCCGAAACGCTCCCGAGCAAAGGAATGGAATCGCCGGAATGGCGGGGAGAGGCTGAAGTTCGGATGAATGCGCGCGCGAATATAGTTGCGCGACGAATGTCTCCTCGCGTCGAAATAATGGGAGAATGATTGCGTCATTCGAGCTTCTCGGCGCGCTTCGAAATCGCGGGGGCTGAGAGTAGCTTGAGAATAACGCTCGAATAGCCCCGCACTGATTTCTTGTCGACGTCCACGGCCTATTTCATTTATTTCACGCGCAATTTCACCCCTAGTTCTTGCGCCGAGTCGAAGTTTCGAATGATACTTTCACGCTCTTAAGAATAATTCGTGTCTCCTTATGAATGGCCTGTGCATTGATAAAACCCTACTTTGACGATATTGTCTCGCTCACTTTTCTCCCGAACCTTTGATTTTATACACAGTAAACAATTTCGCGTTTTACACATTTCACGTGTGGTTGATTCGCAAACTTCTCGGCGACTCTCTCGCGAGTCTCCGAGCGACCCTCGGTGGACACGTCCGTGCGGAACTCGCCGAGAGTGCGATCGCCGATGAACCGAACGCAATGAAATTGGCACGACGAGGAGCAGGAGCAGTAGCGGAAGGACGAGGAGGAGGAGGAACGGATCGGCAGTCGGAGTGAACTTATATTGCCGCGCGGAGAAATCGTTGGAATGAAGCCAGCCTTTATTGGAATGCGCGTCCAAGCCGGTGCGAGACGGATGCATCGCTCGATAAGGTGGATCTATCCGGCGATCTCAGCGACGAATATCTCCACGTGGGGCGCATGATCGATCGGACCAGCGGGCGGTGGTGGCAGTGATAGTGTCGGTTCTAAGAGCGCCGGCAGGCGTCCCGAATTTGCATGCACGCCCGGGTCACTCTCCCCTTAAGTGGGTCCGTTGGTATCTCCTCGAGAGACGAGAGGAGCGAACACGAGTGGCATAATGAATGTACGCGCCGGTGTCTTTGATCTTCCGCGGGTCCTTCGCGTTAACACCTACGCCGGCCGAAAGTATGATGCCGCTTCCCGGCGCGCGCGCGGAAATTCGCGAGATTTTCCTTTGATGGGAAATCTGTTTTCGTGCGCATCGGATCGCTAACGCCAGCCCTAATTGATAGAGCCGCTCCTGAAGTGTACACGTGGGACCGTCGTGGGATCTTATCAGACGAAAATAAAGACAAACCAATAACCGGTTAACAGCGGACGAGTGATCGAGATCAGCGGGAAGGACAAAATCGTCGATTCTTCGCGGTCTACATTGTCTTCTCCCGTCGAGAAAAATAACAATACGTCACAAATGCCGACTATTGTGTGTTGGCATATTAGTGCCACTGTGTGTGACGTCGGGGCTACTAAACACGTGATTTTATAAGTAATTGTTAGAATCCGCCGCTTAATAACAGAGATGTTAAGAGATATAATATCCCTCTCAATCGACGTGTCAAATATATCATCATGTGCATTAAATATAACGTTCGTCGTATATTACAATCGTATAATATATACGATTATATTATTGCGTCATATATCGTATTGTCGTATATTATAACATTATTGTACTCGGTTTGTAGGATCGGCTGCGAAAATTGAACCTCAAAGTAAACTTGATATAAAACCGCAAAGAGTTGAAAGAGCTGTGTATCTTCAAGAGATACGAGGCGCACAATGTGAACGCGAATCCCTTCTGAATGGAGAGAGGGATGAAAATCGCGAACAAACGGAAGGGAACGTCGCGGATCGTTGTTTCGTATATTCGACGAGATGTAACAAACCCGAGACGTTTGTCAAAAGGACCGAGCTTCCATGAACCGTAATACGTAGTTCGAGGGGTGGTTGCTGGCGGCGCAGCAACCCCCGACCGCGGAGGAAACGGTGAATCATGACCGGCCATAAAGGTAACAGCACATAACTGCGAGAGATATAAAGGATAACTCGTCGGTGGAGTTAAGATAAACGTGGAAATGCGAAAAACATTCTCGCGCGCGCCGCGTCTTAAAATTTCATTCCCGCCAACTTCTTAAGAAGTCTTATCCGCCGAAGCTCGCGGCGTCGATAACTTTCCGTACGCCTTCCCACCACTCCTGAGCGCATCTCTCCGTTGCCGAGTTGTCTTTATGAAAATACTTTCGCGAAATATAAACTCCGAACGTATAGAGCGCATTCAAACCATGGGACGCACCCTTGGGATCGCATTTCCCCACGGCGAGATTTTCACGCGCGAACATCTTTTCATTCGCGAAGCAGCTTTTTACATCGTTAATTACATTTTAAGCTGATTACTCTCTCTCTCTCTCTCTCTTCTGATGGACTTGCCGTGTTTGAGCGTGCTTTACCGCGAGACTTTCACAAGAAAGCGGACGAATACAGTATAAAACAGTCGCGAGAGCCCGAGAGATCTCACCGGAGGAATATCACGAGAATTATACGGTTCTGATATCGCTTATACGCGTTCGAGGAATTTAGATAACCCAGTTTCCAAGTCTGATATTTCTCCCGAAACTTTTACGAAAATTCCCAGACTGTCTACATAGTTATATACGAGAACGAGTCATGAAAAATTCAGATTCTTCACTGAAGAGTCGAACGACGTCATCATTCCTCTAAGAACGTCGTCCCCGCATCGAAGATTTCCCGAGGTCCGAAATTGCTTGTTCCGAGCAATTCTTAATTGGATTTCGGACTATAGTTTTAAAGGCTCGGAAAAAAGTAGTTGAAAAAAAGACGTTCTTATTTTTCAATCTTTCCTAGAGAAATGTGAAAAGATTTGTAGAGAAGGAACGTTTTTTACATCTTTCATGGAAAGAAAGAGAAAGGAAGCGCGCAAAAATTGGAAAAAAAAATCGGTTTCTCACAGGGCTTCGAAACTATGAGTAATAATAATAATCTTTATTAACGCACGAAAACTAATTAGAAATTCGAAAAGCAAGAGGAATTGGCGAACGAACCTATAGGACTGGCTCGACGATCGATGGGGCTGGTTCTCTCCTTCCTGTCCACCGGGCTGGTTCTTTTCTCGATGGGACTGGCCGATTTGTCGCTGGCCGAGCTCCTCTTCTCGATCGGGCTGCTGCCGGCGCTGAGTCTCTTGCCGTCGTCCTGCTGTGACTGTTGCTGCAGCTCCGTTTCTTGGCTGGGATTCGCGCCGGTGGCCGCGCCGGAATTGTTGTTACTGTTGGTACCGCCGTTACCCGCTGCCGCGGCTGCTGCGGCCGCACCGGCGTTGTTGTTGTTCAGCACGATCGGCAAGGCGCCGCGGACGTCGCGCAGCTCACCCCGAAGAGTGGCGCACTCGCCTCTGGCGCGTTCCAGCTCGCCGTCCAGCCGGGCGCCGGTCGCTGCGTTCTCCTCCACCATCACGCGGAATTTTGCCTGTGAACATACGAGCACATCTCGTCAGGGCTAGAACGAAGCTGGAGGAACGGGGCGAACGGGTGACCGCGCGGAAAGAACCTCGTACTTACACTGAGGGAAAGAGAATTGTTAACCTCATGAAAATTATAGTCACTATAGAAGCATTCTATATAACAATTGTAGTCTCAGATCAATCAGAGTCGCGAAAACTTTCTTTTCAGCGTGAAAGTACAAATTCGCGATTAATTTGTTTCGCGGTCCACACACACACACACACAGTCTCGACCGTCTCCCTGTGTATTTATGCCGGGAAGATATAATAGAGACGATGAATATTCAAAACTGCAAATACTAGTCGCAGATATTTATCGATAAAGGGATTTCTCTTCCGAATGTGCGCAAGATTGCGCGATAGCCGGGACTGCGTTAACACCACGTCCTGCCATTTTCGCGAAGTTATCGGCAAAGTTAACGCTGGCGCGGGACAAAACGAGCAAATCGCGGCCCGATAAAACTTTAGTCCGCCGGCGCGAGGCGTGCAATATTAATAAGCCGTCCGCGGACGGCCGGCGCGAATTTCGCGTCCGTCGGCGGTGTGTCGTCGTGTGGCCGTCACGTGAAAAGCTCTTTACACGGCACATCGGTATCGACGTGTCGCCTATTCAGAAGTTTGCCCGCGCGGCTTTCGCGCGCCACGTCGCCGCTCGCCTTCGGAGTCGCGGCACGAATCACTGAAATTGCGAAACAGAGAAACACGCGGGACACGTAGCGTCGTATTTCTTTCTCAGTCGCATTAGAAGTAACCCCTGGGATAAGTAAAATGCTATTTCTCCGGACTACGAAATCGGGCGGACGACGCGGGGGGAGGGGGGGGGGAGGTAGGGCAGAACACGCCCGCGAGAATCCTGATTGCCGGTCGCGCGCGGATTTTTCCTCGCGCGACGTTTTCATTCGGAGCTCTTTTTCTCACGAACGACCATCGGGAAGATCCAACCGGCGAAAATCGCTGCTCTTTCGTCTCTTCTCCTTCTCTCTCTCTCTCTCTTTCTCTAGCAGCGTCCTTTAGTGCTTCACGCGAGAAACGCTTCCATCGTCGGTTTGTTGAAACGAGGAAGAACCTCTCGGTTCCACGACGGTTCTTCGCGACGGCTCTCCGTCGGACTTTTTTCCCCGCCGGATTCGGTGGAGCCTCGGAATACCTCGGGATATTCCTCTTCGATTGTTCTCATTACGGAAGATAGCTTCGGCGTCCATCCCGATGGCTGTACGTGCGAGCACCGGCGGGCATTAAAGTGGAATGGCGGTCGCGTCGGCTACAAAATCAAAGCGGTGTTCCCTAATGGCGATCAATGAGACTGTCCGTGTAACTCGCAGATACGCTAATTCACACAAACGACCGCGGAATCCTTCGTGTGGAGATAATAGATGACTCCCCCGCGTCCGGACTGACGTGCCGGCCTGTGCGTTGGGATAGGTCGATGATATAATATGGCCCTCGTGATTAGGTACGGTGAGTACCGACGGTGCATCTACGAACGGAAGCACCGGGGTAAACGAACTCGCACGCGTAACACTTAACCTTCGATCTTGAATGGAGCGCTGCTTGGTGTTCTCTTGCACGAGTCGCCATAGACTCGGTCGAGAAGTTCTTGAAAGAAAAGCAACGTAACTTCGGGTGAGAAGCGATCGATTCGGGACGGGAGTCTCAGTTTAGTCATACTTGAAATACTATCGCTGGATAATCTTAATTTATGTTATTGTGTAACATATATAATAATATATTCTATATGCATGTTATCATATCAAAATCATATTCCATAACTTGATATAGAGAACTGCCTGTTTTAAATAATTGAGATTTCTCGAAGACCAAGGTTTTGAAAAAATGTTTCGCAGTTTCGAGGGACGCGTGAAACTGATAACTTCAACTTCGTTATACAGTCAATAATTTAAGGTCATTAATACAATAATACAATACATGTATATGATGTTACTATATTATTGTATTGTCATATCGTAACATAATTATATTCGAAATAATCGAGAAGCCGATATATTCTCGAAGGTTTAAGAGGAAACTTCATCGATGCACAAAGCGCGGTGCAAGCGAGGGTAATATCATTGTCGAGGCGCTTTGCGCGATGCGGTTGAGGCTGCGTTTCGTGAATCCGGATGACTGATCGTTGCGGCGCACAGCGCGCTCCCTGCAGCCGGAAGTACAGAGCCCTCTGAAATTTGCAGCCTCGATATGGTAGAGTGGCGGCGCGAACGTCTATCCAAAGCCGCCGTATGTACCGTAAGCGGCTTCCGGTAAGCCGTGACGATTTAATGACGCGCTGTCAAACGAGGATTTCTAATTGCGGCTTCGCGCTAGCTTGGCTGCGCCACCGAAGATGATCCATCAATTATGAGCGGAACGTTCGTCCAACTTGAGAACGAAGGGTCTTATTTCTCGAGAGAGCATTTCAAATTCTTCATGCGGCTCTCCGGAGCGCTTCGCGCATAAAATACGAATAATCGTGCTTTGCGAATGACGTTTCTCAAATATCCATCGATATCGCACGGTGAACGTGAAAAATATCGCACGCTTCTTAGTTTCGTTTTTGTAGCGATCGAGAGATCACGCGCTTTAGGTCTGACAAAGACCGTGGCCTCTCCAAGAGAGATGCGATCAATTATCGTGGGAGGATCGCGACGCGCCAGGCTGATAATCGAGCGCTATCAAAAGGAAACCTCGGAGGTAGAAGTACACCGGAGGAAGCGAAAACGGGAGGATGGAGGGCGGGAAAGAGAGAGCGAGATAGAGGATAGGGTGAAACCGATGCGAGTGGCTGACGAGGGGGCCATCATTGGCCAAGTTCCAACGACACAAAAAGATAACGACAAGTTGGAAGAAGGCATCTCGCGGACTTGTTGCGTTCCCAGAGGCGCCTCCGCTCTTTCGTCCGTCCCCGCACTCGAACCAAAACGCGAACGCTTCGACAACGATCGTATTCACGCCCTTCTTCCGGAGAATCGCGACGATAAATTTCCGCCGAATGGAAAGGAGAGAGCGGTGAGCGAAAACCACCACCACCGACTCCGTTTTCGCTCTTTTTCTTTTTTTCCTTTCTTTCCTTCCCTCCATTCCTCTCTCTCTCTCTCTCTCTCTCTCTCTCTTTCATTCTCTCGCGCTTCCGTAACGAGTCGTTCTGCCTTTAGTGCTGCGCGTTTAAACATCACCGTGTTCTCCTGTAAAATGTATACACTTCGTCGCTGCGCTGTTAAACCGCCGGACTCCCCGTCACCGTTCATACACGCTGTTTCCGGAAGAAAGATCAATACCCGTGCAGGTGATAGTAACGCCGTCTCCCTCTCTCTCTCTTTCTCTCTCTCTCTCTCTCTCTCTCTCTCTCTCAGCTGCGAAATGTGCGCGCGAGACTCGCATAAATCTCCCTCGCGTTCGCTTTTCGATATTATCCTATCGCCGACATTCGCGAAATATTCGCGCATGTCTCTTCAGCAGAATTGGAAATCTACGCGTAGAGGAAGTGAGAATAATATGAAATAGTCGGATAATATGGAATATCAGGATTTTCAGCCTGTTATAAGTGTTGTAATTTAGCGGATAGTTTAGAAATTTAATGAAATTGTTAGCCGCTGGATCCCTGACCTAACTTACAAAGCGGCAGCCTAGTACGAGATTGTGTTAAACTGGTACGTCTAATTTTACATTTTCTGCGTTTCATTATTCCATCAGGTAGGTTTTTAAACTTTTAGTTAACAGTTAATTTATCTTACAGACTCTTGGTCGCTTTTCATCACATGTAAAATTACATAGAAAAGTTCGTTTTAAATTAAGATACATATTCTCATACGTAAGCGAGAATATTATAATATTCTTAGAATATCTTTCGTCTTGAATCGAGTAATAATTGCATCAATACAAATTCAATCAAAATCAAGAATAAAAATCTTCCAAGAAGATTATAATATGAATTTATAATCTTCCAAGAAGATTATAAATTCTTACCTATTCCATATTGCCCTTCCAAAATCTACCCTTCAAAACGATTGATATAACATTAAACTTATTACAAATAAACGAAATTTGTTAGGCACACGTTATGAAAAAAAAAAAAAATACTTGGCCTTACACAACTCAGCGAAAACTAATTTCAATTATTTTTAACAGTTTTCGATTTATCTTAAAAAAAAAGCTTTGGACGGGATATTCCATAATACCTATATTTTCCCTGTACGAAACATCTATAAATCCAGCGTGACGTCGGACTCGCTCGCGACCGAGCGTACGCAATGGGGATTCTGTTAAAATAAAGCCAGCTTAATCGCTAACCGGTCGTCGGCTAATCGATCGGCCGGCAGAGCAGTCGGACGCTCGCGCGTGTGCGAATTTTCGCGAGAGCGTCGAGAGAGGAAATTATTGATCGGAGCAATCAAAACTAGAGAGAGAGAGAGAGAGAGAGTGCGACGGTTAATAGTTGCGAGAGCAGCAGCAGCAGCAGATTCAGGTTTACTACAGGCCGGTAGTTATCCGACTATGTTCGGACTATGCGCGGGACTGCTCTCCGGGATTATTCGAATCCGCAGTAGTCACAAGAGCGCCGATGTAAATACTAACCGCGGAGCATCGCGTCGGTCGTTCGTTGCAGGCCGCGCGATATTATGTTTGGACGGCGGTATCGCACGGCAGATCGTTGTTCGTGGCGGGCGCAATCGCGAGAAACAATTCCGCGTACAACTGTTGTCGGCGAACGTGCGCGCGCGGCCGTAACAATTAAACGAACGATCGGGTCATTAGCCGGACAATTTGTCGTACGTGAAACTACCCGGCCGGACGACGCGCTCGCCGTACAAGGCCCGATGGAGGATGGCGTATAATTGAACGAGCGGGATCTCTCCTTCGACGGGAAATCGCGGGTGATCTTACGACGGGGGGTTACGAGTCGACGACGTTAACAGTCGGCCGTTTCGCAGCGCAACTCGCTCGCTCAAAACTGTGTCCATTGTCGTTAGGA